GCCTCCATTTACTTAGTACAAGCTAGCTACTATTGTCTCTGAATCTAGTCCAGTCTTGCTCAAAAAGAAGTACTAGTGGTACATCCTCATAGGTGTAGATACCTGTATCAGGTGTGGGTTTGCCTTTCCTGCTCACAGAGCCACTCTGTGAGCAGGTTTATGGAATACTTACTCCGCAGGCATGGAATCCATTACAACAGAGCACTGGATATTGGCTCTAAAACTCGGAAGGCACCAGGGTGACATCTGACACTGGCCCCAGTACACGGAGGGCAAGGACAAACCTGAGAAAGAGGTAGACCGCTCTAAGTTGGTAGGTGGCAGTTTTAACAAGCAAGGGAACTTACATATGAGACTTGTTAAATAGATCTCCACACCTGTTCTCCAGAATCTTAAAAGTTTATATAGAGGCCTCAACAGGGTTCAGTCTTGGATTCAGTCCAGATGGTCTCAACAACACAGTACTCTCTCAAGTCTGTGTCTTTGAAAATGGCTCCCACTGTGGGAACAGTGGGCAGAGCCTACACTCCAAGGAGGAGGGAGGGGGTGAGGAGCCACCAATTGCCCAGATGGCGTTCTCTGATCAATTGATGGTCAACATCCTCAGCAGCTTACAATGTCACAAGCCCCCTCCTTCCCAGTGTGCCCTAAGTGACCAAGAAGGAGTTTCATTAATGTGGCTGTGACTCGTTTGGTGGCTATCTGGATGCACTAGGGGCAGATATCACAGCAACAATAGATACAAAAGAAAACTCAGATAAAGATGATTCGCAAAATAAGCAACAATCTTCTCCACCAAAACCCCAAGATGGAATCCACTGATCTATTAAGTCCTCTAGGCTGGGGGTCAGACCACTCAGGGCCTTCACTTGTGTCCTCAAGTGGTTTAATAAAGATGACCATGGAAAATGCACAGCTCAGGTCTCCTGCTGTGCCCGGGCAGCTCCCAGCCAGTAACCAACCACAGTAGGGCTACTAATGAGGCCCATTCCTGAGAGCTGTGGAATTCCTTTAATGAGGGATTTTTAAATCAAGAACTCCCCATGAGCCTGGCAAAAACTTTCTTAAAATGGCACTTCAATCCCACTTCAAAAGACCCTTCTACCCAAGTGGGTCTCTTTCCTGTTGCCCCTCCTTACAAGTACCAGATTCGTACTAGGGTCTGAAGGCACCCTCTGCCTTCTCCCACTCTTTATCCTCTACAGGCCTTCCCACGAATAAATTTCTTGCATAGAAAATACTTTCTTGATGCCCTCTTGTCAGAGGACCTGAATTCATGTACAAGCTAACTCATTACTTTTATTAACTTAAGTTTTCTTTTTTTTCCCTTAACTGTAATCCTGTAACCGGGCAGCCTGGGGTCTTGCTGCCTGACACAGTGTATTAGCATAACATGAAGGCTGGTGGGGAAGGAAAGAGGTTTTTAATAACAGGGTTCCCAATTTGAGGGGGCTGGGAGCATCCCTGCTCCAAGCCTTCCTCTTCTGCAAAGCGCAGAAATTCCCTTATTCCCAGAAAGACTGAAATCCAAACCAAATCCACGCCCAGAAGTTCCTTTTTTCTGATCTGTCCTTTTTGAGCCGGAGATTTCTACACAAACGGGTCTCCATCTCTCCAGCTTTCGGGCCTCTCTTCTGGGGTGTGCACATGTGGGCTGGAGCGCCGCCATCACTTCACAGCAGCTTTCTCTCCCTCCTGGGGTCTGGGATGTGCTGCCAGATCACTGCAGCTGGTCGTGCAGGGACTCAGTCCACTGGGTCCTGGAGCACCAGGCTACAGTTGTCCCTATGGCTGGTGCTGTTCCTGGCCCGTGTCTCTACGTGCTGCTCTCAGGGTGACAGAATGGACACAGCGCTTCACGGGGTCGCAGTGCTTCCGAGATGCCAAGCAAGGCATCTCACATGGCACGCATCCCCGTGTGGGACTACAACTCTGAAAGCTGGCTCCTGAGTGTGCAAGGACTAAGCCCCGAGCGCTTCCTTGTGGGGTGAGGGGAAAGCCAAAAGAACAAGAAAGTGAGCTTCTGTGTGCATTCCATTTTTAAAGCCAGCTCCCAAACTCCCTGCACAGTGGAAGTGTCTGGCTGCCATGCTCCACAAGGGGGCAAGGTCTCCAGTCACACTGGGAGCACTGTGTCTCACCCCAGTGCGGGGTGTCACTCCCTGCTGCAGCTTGCTGGCCGCCACCATACACGTGTGTTTTGACCTTTTTGGTCCCAGGCAGCCTCAGAACAAACTTCCTCCTGCTGGATCAAGAGCTGCTTGCCTGCCAGGGCCAAATATTCACTGTTTACTGTAGCCTTTGATAGGAGCCTCAGCCCACAGCCCCTCCCCACTCTGGCAAAGCACAGGCTGGGGCAGGTTTCAGCTTTCATCTGCAGCCCTAGGCAATTCCTGCCTCACCTCCTCAAGGGTCCCTCTGGGGAAGTGCAGTTTCTTCCATTAATTTGGAGATCCCCAGCAATCTGGCCTGACCACCTGGTTACAACCCCATTCTGGGGCAATAGTTGGGTCCAAAATATCATATACTCTTAGCACTAGTCCCTAGGAAATCATTCTCATATTTCTAGCAGTTCTTTTAGTATTCTCAATAAAGTATGTATATATATATATATGTATACATGTACAAACATACACACATGTCCATATAAATATATATACCATATATAGAGTGTGGGGCAAAAGTAGGCTTACAGTTGTGAGTATACAAAAGTCTATTCTTGTGTTACTTATTATAGTATTTTCTATATGAACAACTGTAAACCTACTTCGGCCCCACCCCTTGTGTGTATGTGTAATTGTATCCTTGTATACTTGTGATTTTTTTTTTTTTAGGAAGGATTCTTTTTGCTTTAGGAGCTATCATAGTCTAAATAAATTTTTTAAATTCTTGTCTTCTGTTCAAAGGCAATACATACTTAATAATAGTGAAAGTAAAATATAAAATAAACAATATAGATTAGGGAAAAGTAAAAATCAGAATATCTATATTGATAAAAGAAGCTTTTAAAATCAGCAATAAAAATGAATTACCAACACACTCCATGATATGGGTAAGTCTCAAAAACATTGAATGAAAGAAGCCAGACATCAACAAGTATATTCTCTGTGACTCCATTTATATAAAATCCCAGAAAAGGCACACCTTATCTATAGTGAATGAAAGCTCTTCAGGGACTGTCTGGCACTGGGGCGACTGACGACAGAGGGCCCAGGAAGTTTTTGCAGGGATGAAAATGCTCTGTGTTTTGATTGAGGTAGTAGTTACACAAGTGTGTGTATACCTTTCCCAAAACTCATTTAACTCCACACTTAAAATGAGTGCATTTTGTTGAATGATGCTGGAGTAAAGTTGATTTTAAAAATTGTACTATTTTCAACTTCCGAAGAATCTTGGGTCAAAATATCCAGCATTATTCAGGCTACCGTCTTTTCTTACCTGGATTTTCCAATACCCTTTTTACTGGATCCCATTATAGGAACCAAGCTTTTCTCCAATGTGGTCTTCACTCTGTAGCTGGAATGATGGTTTTAAGACAAAATGTGATCATCACTTCCAGTAACTCTCATTCTCCTTCACATGTATCAGTCAGTCAGGGTTTAATTAAAGAAACAGAACCACTAAGGTAGATACACATATAAAGAGATAGTTATTACAGGAATTTGACCTCATACAGCAATAAGAATTTGTTAAAACAGTCTCTATAAGGCTGTTATATCAACCCATTATTTTCTTCCATTTTTCCCACTGATATTTTCAGTATTTTTAATGAACTAAATTTGAAACCATAGAGGAAAATCAACAAGATACTCAGCATACCCAGGGGTTTCAAAAGATTGTATTTGCCTAAGTGAACATTTAGTAAATTGGGCAATTACTTAAACCCGTTATTTTCTGATGCTGCAGTTAGTTTGAACCCACAGGGCAGGCAGCTGGGAAGATGGAAGTAAAGACCCCCTGACAAACTGAAACCTGTCAGTTCTTGCTGCTTCTCATCTTGGCAGGTTTCAGGAGAAGCTAGGGCCCTTCATTATTACGGAGCTAAACACATTCCTGGCCCAGGAGTCACGGAAACTGAGGGTCAGGGGAAGGTAAAGCAGCTGCAGGCTCAGCCACCGCCTCACTTCGTGTGCCAGCAAAGCCACAACCTGTGTGAACTACAAAATGGCTGGAGCTTCACTTCCACTTTCAAAATCTCTCACAAGTCAGTCCTAACCGAAAATAAATAAATAAAGTAAAAAGAATTCTGGGAAATGTAGTTCAGCCTGGTCAAGACGACACATTACAAAACCACAGTAACACTCCAGACCTTCCCATTGCTCTTACAGCCTTCAGAGACCATGTCAGGTTCTTTGTGACCTGACTTCCACCAGATTTTCTGGCTCTATCTCCTACTGGCCCCATGTCAGGCTATATGCATTTATATTTAGTATAAATGTTCTAACTCTTCTAACCTTTCCATGCTATGTTTCTCCTGGCCAGAATAATCTTCCTCCCTTGCCTTTCTTCCCCTTTAACCTGGCTGAGACCTGTTCACCCTTGTGGCTTCAGCTTCTTCTAGGAAATCTCCCCGGACATATCACTTTATCACTGGTGGCCAGTACAAAACCAGATTCAAGGTTAGTACCCAACGAATTTCAGTTGAACAAATCAACACATGCCAAATGAGAATTAAACTTGATTGTTGAAGGAACATGGCTGAAGTCTTAGATGTAAAAGGACTAAGTGCTGTAGTCGAGGTAATTGGACAGGCAATACATTCAGCCTATTAAAATGTGGGACACTCTATTCACTTCTGCAGAAATACACATTCCATTTAACCACTTATTCACTCTATCCCTTTGATATATAAACACCTATTGCAACACAAAGTTCCTTAGTCTGAGTTCTCCAGACAGCAGACCCTAAGACAAGGTGGTTAGATTGAAATGTGCAACCTGGAAGCAGGGTTAAAAATCAGGGAGTGGGGACAGGGAAGGAAATAAAGCCAGTAAGATGGGTACTGTTGACCTGGTTAATACTGTGAATATTAAAGTTTTATTTCACTGAAAACCCTTTGAGAAATTGCATAAAACTTTAGATACCCCTCGGAAGGAGGCCGAGACCCTTATTCACCAACTCCCATCCCTCAGAAGTTGCTAGGGAACTTGTGCCCTTTCCCATCCCAACACTTCCAGCCAATGGAGTTGAATGGGATGCACTGGCTTTAGAAAAAGCCACAAGGTGGAAAAGTAGAAATACTATCAGCACTGGTGGAGAAATGTAGGGGGCAAACACAAGCACTAATTATGATAGCTGCAGTCAAGTTAGAGGTGGGCCAAGGTGATGTGGCTCGGATCACCAAGTTCTGATCCACTTCCTAACAACCCTTGTCTCCATTACTCACTAGGTACTGCCATCGATAGGGAAGGAATAGTAACAAATTTTACTTCCTTCTTTCAGGGAACTGATGGTTTGGGAATTTAGGAAAATTCCACTAACTTACTAAATTTTTTAAAAATTTTATTTACTTATCTTTAGAGGGGAGGGAAAGGAGAGAGGGAGAGAAATATCAATATATGGTTGCTTCTTGTGTGTCCCCCACTGGGAACTGGCCTGCAACCTAGGCATGTGCCCTGACTGGGAATCAACCTGCAATCCCTTAGTTCACAGGCCCCTGCTCAATCCACTGAGCTACACCAGCCAGGGCTAACTTACTAAATCTTAGCATAGGTAATATAAAGAGAGCTAGATAAGTAAGGGGCAAATACCATATTTTTCAGACCATAAGACCCATCTCTCTCTCAAAATTTAAGAGGAATAATGGTTTTTAATGCTGCTGTTGACTTCTGTTTACATTTACATTGGTGAAATATTATGTTGTTATTAAATATTTTACCACATTTTTTCTTCAAAATTTTTTTTCTATTTTCCTCCTCTAAAACCTAGATGCATCTTATGGTCCGAAAAATATGGTAGATGATTGCTAGCTGACTGCTTTACTCAAAGAATGGGGAGCAATGATACAAACTTCGTTATATTTGTATTCCTTTCCTATGTACTGTATGGAATGGTATACCTGGAGTTCTACCACGCAGCAACCGTACCTAGCACAAAGCGGCTACTCACCAAACGTGTAGGAGACAAGAGCAGGTGAAATATCATAAAGAGTTACTTCCTCTAGAATGTCAGAAAAACACAGAGCAGTGCTTTTCACATGGAGGCTGTGTTGCATCCCAGAAAACATTTGGCAATGTCTAGAGACATCTTTGTTTGTCACAACCGAGGAAGGAGTTGCTCTTGCAATCCAGTGCACAGAGTATTCTACAATGCAAAGGACAACCCTCCTTTCCCCAACAAAGAATTCTATCAGCGGTGCCAAGACTGAGAAACCCTGACACAGATAAAGGGTATGATCACATGTAAGTCTATGCATTTACATAAACACAATATTTCTCCACTTCATATAGTTTATATATAACATTAAAAATCAATGCTTGATTACAAATGAGTTGTCCTACATGCCAGCAATACACAGTGTTGCATTAGTACCACCAAAACCAAAGGAATTGGTGAGTCCAATACGTCTTTTCTCAGTTTTCCATTCCTGTGCCTTTAGTGGAACGTAATTGAGATCAAATCCCGGTTCTGTGCAGTCCAGGTTTAAAGTAGGTGGCAGTTTTCCGTAATAACAAGCCAGGGCAGTAAACGCTGCCTCAACCGCCCCTGCTGCCCCCAGCAGATGTCCCGTGGCTCCCTTAGTTGAGGAAATGGCAAGGGCATGGGCATGGTCTTTGAAAAGGTGTTTAATGGCTTTGTTTTCAGCAGCATCTCCTAACGGTGTGGAGGTAGCATGCGCGTTGACATAGGATATCTCTTCAGGCTGTAGGTTTGCATCCTTTACAGCAGCTGTCATACATCTAATAAAATAACAAAAGACATTTATCAGAACTAAGTTTAATTTTAACATGGAATTCATTATCTGTATGGCTGATGTGAAAGAAATATCCAAGCACACTGGATGAAAATAATCCTGTCTAACAACAGAACCCCATATTGGATTACCACGTGAGTTAGAATGCCATCTGCTTGGGAATAATGACTCACCCCCAGTACCTTGGACAGATTCATCACCAAGAGATAAAAATAGGAGCCTACAGATTTTCTAATCTCTAAAAAACGTATTTCGATTTATCTGAAATGACTTTTTCCCTTGGGGGGAAAACACACATTGATTCAAGTCTAGAAGAACTTTTCTTCCAGGAATTTTTGTCAGTGGGATGTGTGTGCCGATGGGTATGCATGGATGTGTGTGTGTGTGTGTGTGTGTGTGTGTGTGTAGATTTAAAATGCAGAGACAAATTTTATAACCATGTTTTCCTTTTTTCTCTCACATTTAAATGTAAAACTTGGCATATGTCCCAATAATCTAAAAACATCTGCATCATTATTACTTCAGTGCTTCAAATAACCTTTCAAAATCCTCTTTATTTAGGCTGTAAGAATATGAAATAAAGTTCAAAGCCAAGCCAAAAACAAACAAACAAATCCAAAAATAAAACCTTTTCCTGGAAAAACCATCAAAAAAAATCTCTTGTATGTCAACACCTTCTTTTTTAGTTCCAATCTCTGGTCTGGGCGTATTTCCTTAAGAGGCAGCCTAGAATATAATATAGTGTGCTGAAAAGTTTCATCTAAACATAACTATTTCTTCAACTAGCTGGCTACTTCACATCTCTAGCACTAGCAATGACTCACTAAAACTCAAAAGTATAATTCAGGGATTGGTAAACTATGGCCCTGGTCAGATGCCTGTTGCTGAAAAAACTGTTTCACTGGAAAACACCCATTCGCTTATGTACAATCTATGGATGATTTCACACTAGAAGGCAGAGTTGGGTAGTTGTGACTTTTGGGTAGTTCTTATGGCCCAAAAGCCAAATATATTTACTATTTGTCCTTTTACAGAAAGGTTTGCCGACCCTTGGCTAATTTAACTGGTTACAATATAATATGATCTGGGCAAGCTAATCTACCAGCTAACACATTAGCAGGGATTTCTTTTTTTTAACTTAACTCACTATCTCTTCTACAATGGCAACTAGCAACTTGCTTTGAAAAGTGTGGTCCTCAGAGCAGTACCATGAGCATCACCTGGGAGCTTGTCAGAAAAACAGAAGCTCAGCCACCACTCTAGGCCTACAGAATCAGACTTTGCATTTTAATAATATCCCTGGGTGCTTAAAGGCTGGGAAGTGCCAACGTAAAAACAGCAGAACCCTGTTGAAATGGAGCACAGACCAGACTGTGCTGGGAAGGGCTGACTTTTACTGTCCAAGCCTGATGAAGGGCCAGACTGGCGGGGTGTAGGAGGGGCAGCCTGACAGCTGTTAAGCACAATTGGAGGTATGAAAAGTTCACAAAGGCACATGTGGCCTTCTTCACAACTTTTGACCTTAGCTAAAATCCAGCTTTTGTAAGGATTTTCAAATGCTTTCAAATACTTTTATGCAAAGTATTGCATAAGACAAAGAACTCAAAAACATTTTGTTTAAGCTGAAATGGAACAACAACAGAGATACTCTACACCAAGACAAGATGATAGTACAAGTTCCCCTGATTTGACACTCCAATAAAATGTCTTATTTGAATAAACATTTTGAATGAAAAGGAAAAACAAGAATTTACCTTAAGGCACCTTCCCCTTCCGGGTCAGGGGCGGTTATGTGACCAGCGTCACCTGACAGTCCATAGCCCAAAACTTCTGCGTAGATCCGAGCTCCTCGTTGAACAGCACGTTGGTGCTCTTCCAGCACCAGCACAGCTGCACCTTCTCCCATTACAAAACCGTCTCTCTTTGGGTGAAATGGTCGACATGCCACCTTAGGATCAGAGTTTGTGCTCAGAGCACGAGCTCTGGAAAACCCAGCAAGAGATAAAGGGCTAATGCAAGAATCAGTACCTCCAGCCACCATCACGTCAGCATCACCATGGGCAATAAACCTAAAAGAGTCTCCCACAGCATGAGCTCCTGTGGTACAGGCTGTAGATACTGCATGATTGGGGCCCCTGAGTTTATATCGAATGCTGACCTGGCCTGCTGCCATATTGACCAGAATCTTGGGGACAAAGAATGGGCTGACTTTATTGTAACCTTTTGAATGAAACAACAAAGCAGTTTCAGAAACAACTTCCAGAGGAATCATTCCCATGCCAATTGCAACACCAGTACTCACTTGGTCAGCTTCTGACTGAGGATGCCAGCCAGAATCTTTCATGGCTAACTCTGCAGCCCCAATGGCCATAATGGTGGGCGAAGACATGGTCTTGATATCTGATTTGGACACAAAATTTTGTTCATTGAACTGACCTTCATCACAACCTCTTGGCACATAAGCAGCAACACTGCAAGGGATATTCTTATATTCTTCACCAACCAGTGAAACAATTCCACTCTCTCCCCGGATCAGACGATCCCATACCAGCTGAGTTCCAACGCCAAGAGGGGTCACTAAGCCAATGCCTGTAATGACAACCCGCCTGTGCAATCTGGATGCTGGCACAGATCCGAAAAACCTTTTGTTTCTTATTAATTGGTGGCATAATCCTGAATATAGAAGATGAGGGTTTATAATTTTTAGCACATTCTGCAAGCAGCTTGAAAACATGGCTGAGATTCAGATGGGGAAACACACTCCAGTAACAGACCACCAACGCCCAGGAAGTAGTGTTGTTTAAATAGCTTAAAGGTGTAAGAAACAATAGCCGAGGTGTTGTTTCAGGTGCTTGGTGTGAGCTGTTAATGAGCACAGGGAAAATAATGTTACATTACAGGCGGCAAACGCAGGCCCCGGGTCCGAATCCGGCCCTCCACCTTCTTTTATCCGGCCCAGCCCCTTGTTTCCATCTGGCAGCAGCACAGAGCTCTTGCTTAATTATTAAGGAACAGTTACATTTATACAGTCCTAAACTTACATTCAGCCCTTTGAAGGCAACCGAGGCTGATGTGGCCCCCGGTGAAAATGAGTTTGATACCTCTGTTATATCATTTTAATTTATATAAATGATATCATAAATTAAATGATATCATTTAATTTATATAATTTATATATGTCATCATTAGACCACCTGTTTGGACTTAACTATTTTTAGACTCTAAGTACCCTCAAACATTCCAAGACAGGTGAAATGAGGATTCAATCAACTCACTAAAGAGGAATCATACCATGAAAAATATAAAGGCAATATAAGTCTGATATAGACTGCAGGAAGCATCCGTTTTCAGATTTACCGAAGCCTTATTCTAAATGGCATTTCTAGTGTCAGTGGCTCTACATATACTTCTGGGCCTATTCTTTGAGATATGAGTAAGTAGACTTCACTGATCTTCAAAATGTGGAGATTACCAGGGTTTCCAAACCGCGCAGACCGCGGGCGGGAATAAAGGGGTGTGGTCAAACCCCCGGCACTTCTCTCAAGAACGATCACCCGAAGAAAGCAGCCAAATCCCAGGTCATTAGACTCCCCTCTCTCGAACTAATCCCGACCTGATTTGGCGGTGGAAAGGAAGAATAAGACCAGCCAGCACCCAAAGTACCTTCACTAGCCCTCTGGCCACCCGCGCAGCCGCCGTCCTCGAGTGCGCAAGCGCACACGCAGCTCCGCACATGCGCGTGCACAAGCACGCCTAACCAGCTGCGGTCACCTTGGCGGGGATCGGACAGTGGGAGGAGTCGGCGTCTCGGCGAGCAGGCAGAATCATCTCACGCACAACCTTACGGATTCGAAATTAATCAAGAACTCGCACCTAACGGATAAGATGGCATCACAAGGGGAATTTGTTCTGTGAAATAATAATGCCTACACATCACCTTGTGGGAGAAGGAACACCATAATACTCTACTGGAATGTAGGAATTTAAGCCTTAAAGTTATTAATGTACCTCCCAGAATTATTGTAGTGACAGAATTAACCAAAATGCCTAACACCAAGAAAATGGTTGTGTATACTGTGGATACATCTAAATGCTGTGAAACTTTAAAATAATTTTGTAAATGAATACTAATGTGCAAAGATGTTGAAACTATGTTAGGAGAAACAAGTTACCCAAAAAAAAGTGTATATTTTTTAGTTTTTTTAAAGGTCTGCAAGGATGTACAATGATCATGATATTATCCTCTACTTTTTGTTTAGCACTAGTCACAATATTTTGTGACATTTTCTACAATGTATAATGCTTTTGCAATAATAGTTATTTTTACTTTTTAAAAATTGCCGTTGTATCTGAAGCAGTGCTCAAAATACCACACTCAATGTCTGACAAAAAAAAACAAAAACAAAAAAAAACAGAGACTCCAGAAGAATAGAGAAGTTTATTTCTAAGGGTCTGAAAAATTTAATATCTTTATTTGCCCACAGCTGGCTATGAATCTGTGAATGGAAAATATAATATGGAAATACTTTAAGAGGCAAGAATCAGCAAGGTGGCATTTAGATAACCATCTCGATAGTTCACATGCCCTCACAGGTGTGAGTTTTGTATCCTGTTCTTTAAACGATTGATTATATAACCTGCATCTGAAAGTCCGTTTTTGCTTTCTACTGGGCAGTCTCTTGAAGTGATTGCTTCCAACTAGAGTGCTCAGCCTTCTTTCCCAGCTCCAGACAAAAAATATGGGTCAAGTTTAGCTTTTCCTGGTTATCACTGGATTTAAATGAGTTTCATAATATATTTTATCTAAAATAGTTCAGCGAAGCAGAGTATGACTTCAAGTCACTCTTAATCCAAGACCCATTCAATCATTTCTCAGCATGACCTTCATTCAATGACAATAGTTACTTTAAGATAGATACATGAAGTTATAACTTAAAACTTAGTAAGTACCCAAACTTGCTCTTTTCCTTGTGATATATTTTAAAATTACAGTGTGAAAAGACCTACATTTTCTTTAAAGATGAAGTCATGTGAAATGTACAGTTTTAATGTGCTGTTTTTTCTTCTGTAATATTATAAAATTATTTTGGATAAGAAGTGAAAAATCAATTATAGTTTGTCAAAAAGTCAAACCACACACCAAAAAAAAAGTCAAACCACAAAAAAGTAATTTCATCTTTAAATTCTACCTCTTATCTTGCCTTTCATTTGGGAAGAAGTAGGAAATTTTATTTTATTGGCTGTTTATGATTTAGTACCATATTCCTTGCTATATAACACCGTATTTTCCCCCCATCAAAAGTGCTACATTTAACATAGACTCCTGCTCAATTTGTAATCTTATTCCAAACTATCTTTTTGGCCATAGCTCTCATTCTCTATTAAATGGAATTCTACCCAGCAAAACTGATCTTACTATCTTTGGGTTGACTTTAGTTTTATCTGTTTTCATCTTTGTATCTTTGATTGTACTTTCTTTTCTTCAACATTCATTTTCCTCTCACCTTATGCTAGAAGCTGGCATACAAAAATGAATAGGACATGTTACTGCTTTCGAGAAGTTTATAGTCTAATAGAGGGAGACAGCCATGGAAGCATGTGTGCAAACTACTGAAACAGTGCTATCCTGGAAGAATATAATAGAATTATAATAACACAGAGGATGAGTACATCAGTACTACCTTTCAAATTCAGAAAAGCCTAAAAAAAGTGATCCTTGAGCTGCATCTTCAAAATGAGTAAATGTATGCCTAGTAAATTGGGTGAGAAAGAGCATTCTGACAGGTGGAATAGAACAAAAGGCCTGGAGACGTGGTCATATGCCACAAACTACGAGTAGTTCAATATGGCCATTGTTAGATTTGAATTATGTGACAAAGCAACAGTAAAAGTATGAAAGTACAGCAGGAACAATCACAAAAAATCTTGGGTGTCATGTTGAAGATTTTGGATTACAGCCTATAGGTCACAGATGACAGACTGGCAATCCTGGTCTAATTTGGACTGTAATCTCTTATTGAATCTAAATTCCTCTAGGAAAGATATGGTAAACTATTTCCTTCACCAGGGTCTCTTCTACTCCTTTTTGGCTTGAACAAAGCCACTTCATACATTGAAGTTACTTGCTGGTTCCTGATGCCATTTGACCTTTGAGTACCATGGGTAAACTTTTTCTTTTCCCCTGACGCTGCCACTGCTCCCCATAGGTAACATTTTAACAGAAGGACAACATGACCAATGTGTGAGTTAGAAAGATCACTGTCGCAGCAGTGAGCAAGGTAGATGAGGGATGTAGAGATGCACATGGGCATCAACTTAAGACTGAAGAACAGGTGATGAGGACTTGAAGTAAGGAAATGGCACAGAAGATACAGATGTTGAAAACACTGCTAAGGTGCTGTCCCAATTAAGTGTTGGAGGCTCTCCTGCAGCTAGGAAATCCTCTCCTTCCTCATCTCCTTATCCTCCAAATGTAAGGGATACTATTCACTCTTCCCCTTCCATGAAACTGTGGTCAGTGACATTCTCCTTCCTTTCAGCTAGTTCTCCAACTTTATTGTGCATCAAAATCACTGTAAGGGCTTGTTGCTACACAGATTGCAGGGCCTCACCTTCAAAGATGGGGCTTGAGAATCTTTCCGACAAGTTTCCCTGTGTTGCTGGTGCTGCTGGTCTAAAAAACTGCTGTAAATTTATGATCTCCATGAAGCAGGGCCTGGCTTATCTCCTTCGCTGCCTCATTGCCTACCACAGTGCTTGGCATTTAGAAGCCACTATTTAAAAATTTGGTGAATGGATGAGTGAATGAATGAACACACACCCTTGTATTGACCTGTATACAGACACTGCTTTGTGCAATTCTTAAATGCACAAAGAATTTAATTTGTGCATTAAAGAATTAATTTGTGCATTAATTCTTAAATAACTTTGTTTTGCTTTTCAAAATAACTTTTTTGTTTCATCATCTAAAGGGCTATCATCAGATAGCCCTTTAGTATGTAAGGTATTATCATTATTTTTGTCTTTCCTACTTATGTCATCTGTCCCTGACTACTTTGCACAAAACAGGTGTTCAACAAATAATTGTTGGTGAATCACTTCATACAATCACACAAAGGTTCAACTCATCTCTTGCTGATGATCTTTATTGAGTTCAGTATTTTCTTCTTTTTGACAAAACCAAACATGGGGAAAATGTAATAGTTTCTTCTTTCTATTCCATTCTAAAGATGGTATGCTACAAAGCTAGAATCCTGAAAAAAAGACAACAACATTATTTTGGAGCCAAAAAAAAAATCAAGTAAAAGAATGGAATGGAAGTTCAATGTTGATTTCATATACACATCCTTCAGCTGTTTGAACAATGGTGGGTACAAAGAGATTAAGGGTAGCTTAATATTTTCAATTTCTGTTCTAAAAGAAACTAAGAAATCAAAATATTTTCAGCTTGACTTAAGTGGAAGAACCAGATGGGGGAAAGAATGAGTTACAGTCCCTTATAATAAATTACCTTAATAGCTTCCTAAATGGTGGTGTCCAAGACTAATTACTCAAGAACTTTAATGAAGTATTGGTAAAGAGTAATTTGGATTAATTTAAATTTCAGGTGATTTAAAATAAACAAAGTACTGAACTACCCTTGAAATGATGATTTCTGTGATTTTATGAACTGTATGTTATTATTACGGTATTAAGTCCATGACACTGGTTTTCACACTGTGGTTACACCCCCCCCCCCACAGAAGTACCGTAAGGCCATTATCTCTGTCAAGGGGATGGCGAGGGGGATGGCATTCTGTCCCTCATACACACACACTCCTGTTTCAATTCAAAAGCACCGCCACTTTGGTGTTTTGTATATAAGTACACTGGGTTTCCTCCTATGATTTTATTTTTTTGTGTGTTGTGTGTTTTTTTTAAAAATCATAAAAATTATACAGTATTTTAAAACATGCACAATTATTATAAGAATAAATACTGGGAATAGTCCTGGCTGGTGTAGCTCAGTGGATTGAGCGTGGGCCTGGGAACCAAAGGCTCAAGGTTCGATTCCCAGTCAGGGCACATTCCTGGGTTTTAGGCCAGTTCCCAACAGGGACACACGAGAGGCAACCATACATTGATGTTTCTCTCCCTTTCTCCTTCCCTTCCTCTCTAAATATAAATAAACAAAATCTTTTTAAAAATACTGGGAATAATATATTAGTGGGAAAAAAAGAACAATTAAGAGGAATATAATTTGTGGTAGAAACAGCCATTTTTAACCCCAGACCCCAACCTTTCATCTTTTTAGAGTGGTGAGTGGTACCTGTCCAGCCAGGGAGTGACCACATTTCCCAGCCTGCTCTCCTTTAGCTAGATGGGGTTTCATTTTTTTCCCACAACATGCTAGAAAAAATGCAGTATGTCATTTTTAGGCCCACATAGTTAGGCAGGTAGGCCTTCTTTTTGCCCAACTGTTAACTAGCACAGAAGTCACTATAAATCTCTCTATGGCAGAACTTAGCAAATTACAGGTCAAATCCAGCAGGCTACCTGTTTTTCTAAATAGTTTCATTGGAACACAGCTAAGCACATACATTTAAAATGTTGCCTATGGAACTACAACTGCATAAATAAAGTTAAATATTTGAAACAGAGACCTTATAGCCACAAAAATCTTAAACTATTTGACCCTTTGCAGACAATATTTGTTGACCTCTATTCTATGGAGTAGAAGGAGCCTGGATCCCTGAATAAGTACGTGGAGGAAAGCTGCCTTCTGACTAATGACACGTATATTACTAAACTGTTACATGAGCATGAAAGCCAGTTCTCTGTCAAGTCACTGAAAATTTTAGTTATAGCAGCTCCCAATGTACTATCAGTTAAACAACTATTCTTGGAAGCTGGTCCAGAAACCTACATATTTAGCCCTGACCTGTGTGACTCAGTTGGTTGGGCATCGTTCTGCAAAGCAAAAGGTCAATGGTTTGATTCACACTCAGGGCACATGCCTGGGTTTTGGGTTCAGTCCCCAGTTAAAGAGCAAACAAGAGGTAACCTATCAGTTTCTCTCTCCCATCAAAGTTTCTCTCCCTCTCTTTCTCCCTTTATTCCCTTCTCTCTAAAAATAAATTTAAAATTGTACATATTTATTAAAAACTCACAAATAAACCGCAGATGAAGTGTAACTGAAGTAGATGGCATAGCTGAGGGCCTTGCTCATAGACACCAGAAGAAAATTTCAAAGCAAACAAAAGGTAAATAATAACAGGTAAAGAAGTTACTTAGGTAACTTCTCTCAAAAACATAAGATCAAGACAAATATTTGTTGAGGTTAGGAAAGGAATTTCATTGGTAAAGTACATTTTTAAGGGCATGGTAAGGTCGAGAATGGATTATAGAGGTTGAGATTCATGGTCTGAAAGGAATGACACTGTTCACATCTACCTGCAAAACAGAGTCACAGGACAACACTTACCCTTACTATCTATATTTTTATTGTCTTTCCACACATTCCATTCTATTTTGTCCTTATTGTGTATGCGTTTAATGCTGATCACACTACTGGGTAAACTGAGTCCACAACTGCAGGTAAACTTGCGACCTGCAGTTTGAAAAACTTCTTTAAAGAGCCATCACGCTATCTGAGCTGGGACTTTCGCAAAAGATTTTCAAGCATTCATGTAATTCTAGAAATAACTCACATTCCAGAAACCGAGCAGCGTTTTACTTGCCACTCCGTTGTTTTTGAACGTTTGTTGCTCCTTCCTTCTGGAGTCTTTCATCACTTCTGTCCAGGAAGGCCTGACAATCTTGGAGAACGAATTGTAAGACTTTTATTTCAGGGGGGAAAAGAGTGAGGGCCTAGGCAGGTTCCTCACCTCTGGAGGGGGAGAACCCCTCCCCCGGCCCTGACCACCAGGCACCCCGTCAGTCCTCCAGAGTAAACCCCTAATCCAACACACCGACCAAAAAGAACCCACCCTTTCCAGTCGAAGCCCGCGGGCCTGACAGCCAGACCCCTGCCCATCCTAGTAAAAACCCTGATCCTCTCCGAACCCCTTAGCCCACCCAGCCGAGGACTCTACCCTGGGGAACAGGCACCTTGAGTCCTCCGCCCAAGCCCCGCCCCTCCCTACGCGCCTACAGCCCCACAAACCCACCCTCCACGCGGTCTAGCCCCCTGACCCGCCCCTACTGGCAGAGCCCCCAATCCCTTTTGAACAGAGCCCCCCAACCACCGCGCCCCACCCCCCGCCCCGCCCAACCAGGCCCTCACCTTCCCCCACGCCAGTCAACCGGCCAAGACCCGCCCCTCCCATCAGGTCCACACCACCCCCTCCAGACTAAGTCCCCCGCCCCCGCCAACAGCCCCCCGCCCCTCCCAGCGCGCCGCAGGGGCCGCCGCGCGCTGAGGCGCCTGCTCAGTGCAGGACGCGGCACACGAGGGGCGGCGACGGCCGCAGGCGCTCAAGCATGGCGGCAACGGCGCTGGGAAGCTCTTCGGACTCCGCGTCCCCGGCGGTGGCCGAGCTGTGCCAGAACACGCCGGAGACCTTCCTGGAAGCCTCCAAGCTGTTGCTCACCTACGCGGACAACATCCTCAGGTGCCGGGCTGCGGGATCCGCGGGGCTGCGGGGCCGGGCGGGCGCGGCGCCTGCTCGGCCTGGGTTTGGGGGCGCCCGGCCGGGGCCGGGAGGGCGGAGACACCAGGCGGGGTGGGGGGGGGGGGATAGGGACCTGGCGGTGACTCAGCGCAGCGCAGCCCGCGGGTCAGGAGCCTGGAGATCCGGCCAGGCCCCACCCCTGCCCAAGGAGGAGGAAGTTTCTCTGCACTTGTGACTTGGCACCTGACTGATGTCGGGGTGCTCTGGCCGGACTGTAGGGCTCGGGGGACGGCTGGGCGAGAGAGGTGGGAAGGCGTGTCCCCAAACACCTGTCTCCGGTCAGCGTGTTTAACAGTTTTCCGTGACAGGACGGAAGTGGTAAACAGCCTTTCATTCCCACTGCCTGCATTTTCCCCGAACTGGTAGCTTTACATTTCCATAGGCTTATCAGAAGTTAGTCACTGACAGAATGTTTTCTTCTTAACATTTTGTGAAATCCTAATATTAAGTACAATACCGAAATGGTGGGGTTTTTTCTTTTACCTTCTTATGGCATTTTTGTTGACGGAAATCTTGTTAACGGTATTACTTTAAAGTTATAATTTGCATGTTAATATCTAGATTTCACTTTAAGAATGACTCAATAGGAATTTGTGAAAATAATCTCCTTGGGTAGGAGTAATTTGTTTCATTGTCCTGTAAGTGAAAGTACAGCTGTAGATCTAAGGGACCTGACAGATTTGGAGAATTGGGAGGCAAGTGTGATTATTCATTTTGAATCATCACCACCTCAACTCTTAGATCAAACGATGTGGTGTCTTCAGGAGGGAAACATGCTGTGTTGGGAGGGAAATGAAACTGAGGGAAAAGGAGCCCCAGGTGCCAGGTGCTTGAGCCTGTCGCCTCAGTTACCAGCGCAGCGTGATTATCTAGATTCTCTGTTCTCCCTCAGCCCCTGGTACACTTGATCTTCTGATGGGTGGGTGTACTGGTCTGAAGTGTGAAAGGAAATCCCTCTGAGCTTCCGGTTACAGATTTCATGTGACCCAGTTTTAGAGACATTAGTTACAAGTGCAGGATTTTAATCTTGGCAGTCATAACAGTGTAGGTAACATTCATGATTTAAAAGTAAATTGAAGGAAAAACATAGTGAGCCCTTATTATGTGCCAGATGTTACAAGGGGTGCAGCATTTGTGACCTGTGTGGGGACCACTTCCTTTGTGACCCCCTTCTCTACTCATCTTCACCCTGAGCGGTGTAACAGCTGGCTCTTCAGGGCGCGAGGATGCCAGTGGACGCTGCATGAATGAACTCACGGGCTGAGCTCTCCAGAGCCCCATCAGCTGGGAACGCCCACTTGGAAAGCCGACGAGCTATTTAAACCCCACTCTTCAGAAAAGGGAGGTGGCTTTGTTACGATATACTTCTGCTTTTAGTGCAGTGAAACCAAAAAAATTCTAAGATCAGGGTGTGTTTCGGGAAAGAAATCCTTTGCATGCAAGTTATAGCTTGGCATCATAATCATCATTATGAATATTTACCAAACTCATAAAAGAAATTTGTCATGCTGCCAGGTTTAGCTGGCTTGTGTTTCTGATCCTAAGAAGTGTTTTATCAAAAAAGGGAATTAGGAGTTTGGAACTCATATAACTGGAGATGTGAGAAAAACTACCTTTTGTAGTTTGTCTTGAGCAATAGTATTAGTCCCTGCCCTCATATTCTTAGAATTTAAACTCCTTCAGGGGTGGGGCGGGGCAACCATCTTTGCTTTCCTTATTCAAGTCCAGTGACTTGCTAACCTCTTAACAAGAAAAGCTTCAAATTTTTTCTTTATTCCTAGGCGCACTACATTACGGATCTGCTAATCTAACTTATTCGAGAGTTGAGAACACTAAGGTTGTCTGTTACTTTTGCTGTTTGGGGAAATCTTTTAGTGTTAGAGATATCCCTAATGCTAATAGTGTCTTGATATCTCTTGCTTCTGTCTCAGGGTATTGACATAGTATTTCATAGAATGAGAGCTGAAATGAGACTTTCCATTAGCAGTTGTGTATTTTGTTTTTTTTTAAACAATAATACTTGTCACTATACACAAGTGAAAGTAATTCTTCAGGTTGTTTTAAATTTCTGTTTTGTATTCCCCAACTAAGAGTCATAAAGCTAATGAAATTGCAGAATAAAATATATGCTAATTTGCATGCACAATAGGCAGTAGATTTGAAACTTACCGTTTTTTCAATTCCCTGATTTCTAGATAAAAAATGTTTCATTTGTTCTTTTCAAAAATTTTGATTTCTCCACTATTTTCCTTTGCAAATTTCATGCGCTTGTTGTTTATGAACAGAACTATATATGATTGGGAAGGTCCAAGAACGGAAAGTGGTTTTTGCCTTCAAAGAAAATCAGTGGGGCCCTGATTGGTGTGGCTCAGTGGTTAGGTGTCATCCGCATATCAAAAGGTCATAGGTTCAAATCCTGGTTTGGGTTGTTCGTGCGGTCCCTCACTGGGGCACTTACAGAAGACAACCAATTGATGTTTCTCTTCCTTTCTTTCTCCCTCCCTTCCCTTCTGTCTAAAATTAAAAAAATAAAATAAAATACTTCTTTTAAAAAAAGAAAAGAAATATGCCTGGGAGAAAGATACAGGTATGGAAAATAGCTACAGTATAAAATCTAAAGAACAATTCCAAGATAATGTTTAATCACTTACCATGTTTATTTGAGCAGATGGCACAGGAACCTTTATTATGTTTCTTCGTTTTCATTATTCTCACCCAAGGATATTCTCGATGATTTTAGAAGGGGGGAAGGGAGCAAGAGAGGGAAACCTCATTGGGGAAAAGATCAGTCAGTTGCTTTTGCATGTACCCCCCCCCCTCCCGCCCCCAACCGGGGACTGAACCAGCGACCTAGGCAGGTGCCCTGACTGGGAATGGAACCTGCCACCTTTCTGTTTATGGAATGATGCTCCAACCAACTGAGCCACAGCTGACAGGGCCTAACATCAAAGAGTTTTAAGAACAGAGGTTTAATGAGATGGATCTGGTTGATGGAGTAGCAGGGAATGTATATTTGACATCATAGGCAAGACAAAATGATTATAGTTTCTAGACCGAAAGAAAAGCATATGAAGGAGTTTCGTGTAGAATAATGATGTCAAAAGACACAAGGCATGGGTTTCATTTGTGAAGCTATTTAAGTAATCATAAACATAAGTGAGGATAGACTGGAGAGAGAAGTATTACAGGCAGGGATTGGCCTTCTTGATGACTGAATGCAGGCAGACCTGGTAATGGGAGGAGACAACCGAAATAACTTCAGATTTCTAATCTAGGTTATTACTGACACCTGGAGACATTGAGCGAGGGGGAGGGAGTTTGTTGGCATCTTACATGGTGGAGAATATGTACGGTAAGCTTTGTAATCAGGCCAGTTGGTTTAAATCCCAGTCAACCATTTCCTAAATGTGTGATTATAGGCAATTTATGTAAACTCTTGGGGCTTCAGTTTCCTCATTTTTAAAAGGAAAGAAAAAGACCTACACTATAGGATTGTTGCCAAAGTTAGAAATAAAGGACCTGGCACATATGTTGTCTATTGTTGTTATTGTTCCATTTTTCGTGTTAAACTAGCTAGATTACATGAATGTTTCCCTTGTTGTCCGCTCAGAGAATGGTAATAGAGCCAGAGATCGTTCCCAGATGGTTCTAAGGCAGAAAGGTGTTTTTGAAAATTTGTATGTATCTCAGAATAACAGGTTTTTCAGGAGGACTAGAATGTTTAAAATGACCTACAAAGCAACTTTTGTGATTAATGATAAAAATACAAGGTTATAGGATGTACTCATGTACTAAGTTTCCATTTACGTGAACCCTTTCTGGGACTTTTGCATTCCAAAGGGGAAGAGGGCTAGTAAATTATCAGAATATTTACCCCTCAGTGTTTCTGAAATAGAAACATTTTGGCTTTTTTTTTTTTTCTGAAATGCTATCACCATCATGTGAGGCCCATTGATATGTTAACATAACTTATCAGTCTCCATAAAATATAGATTATGACTTTTATAAGGAGAAAAGCATGGCTTTTCCCTACCATTGCAATTGTAAAAATGACTTTCCCCCCACAAATTGAACAATCTGGTAGATACCAGGAGTGAGACAACTCTGAAGACACCAAAATATGTTCAAAATTGTGGCTGAGTGAGATATAGGACATTTTGCTGCCCTTTCAAGATCGCATTCATTCAACATCGTCATCCAACAACACCCAACCAGCCCCTCCCCAAAAACTCATGTAAAGATGCAAGATAGTTGGCTAACAAGCAAGACAAATATTACAACTTGCAGAAATAGTTAATGATCAACAAAGATAAAGGGGGGAAAGACACTGAAGAGCAAACAACATCTGGAAAAATCTGGAGAGGAAATTAAATTAATGGAATAAGATCAAGCAAAAATAAAGGTGATTCTTAGTGGTACTTTAGACACCACAGATTCTGGGTAGTAATAAATGAGCTCAAGAATAGTGGACACTCTGGGGTGATGCTGTAAAGCTAGAGGTCCTGAAAGTGTTTGCTTGACACTTTTCCAAGAGAGGAAATGGAAACTGAGGAGTTGAGGTTTGATAATAGCCCTGTAGCCAAGTGCTGTAAGCCTTCTCAATGGACTTTGGTGTCATGTTAGTCTCCGTGAAATGGATCAGTGCTCTCAGGGGTCCCTGGGATCTGTCTCTTGCTTCAGCAGGGTTGGGCAGAACAGACCCAGGGACGCCGCTTCTTCCAGCCTCCGACCAGCTACCAACCTCTTTTCCAGTCACCACCTTTAGAACCACCTCAGCCATTCTCAGCCTGACACTGCTTTTGACCTTAACTCCTCATTGCCAATCAATCATGAGCTCCCACATTCATTAGAATTATTCCCCTAAGGTGGAGGCTGCTGGTGACCAGCTGGCCAACCTGCATCTGCAGGCCTCCTACGCATACCTCTCTCTGGGCTTTCTGTTTCATCCCTAACAGTGTGGCTCTGCAGGGTGTGGGCCACTTCTTCAAGTTGGTAGAGAGGAAGCGCAAGGTTGCCAAGCATCTCTTAGAGCTGCAAAACCAGCACAGTGGCCACATTCTCTTCCAGGATGTGCTGAAGCCTTCCCAAGATGAGTGGGGTAAGCCTCAAGAGGCCATGGAAGCAGCCATGGCCTTGGAGAAGAACCTGAACCAGGCCCCTTTGGATCTGCAGGCCCTGGTTTTTACCTGTACAGACACTCATCTCTGTGACTTCCTGGAGAACCACTTCCTGGGTGAGGGAAGGTGAAACTCATCAGGAAGATAGGTGACACCTAACTAACCTCTACAGGGTGGGCTGGGCAGGGCAGGGCAAGTATCTCTGAAAGGCTCACCCTCAAGCACAACTAGGAGCCTTTGGAACCTAGAGGCCTTTGAGGGTTCCCCTCTGCATTTTCCTGGTATCTGGCTTTGCTTGAGCCCCTCCCTGCAACCGCTAGGCATCTTTTTAACCACGTGGAGCTCTCTCCCATGCATTGTACCAAATGGAAACAACAAAGCTTTTTGCAGTGCCCCCACCCCCCAAAAAGAGGAAAATAAGATTTGGGTCACTGTGCATTACTGTAATTTTTGTTTGTTGGCAAATTGCTTTTAGTGAGAAAAACAGATAAATGAGGCCCATCCATGTTGTAAAAAGAAAATTGCTCACTAGAAACTAAAGAGGAAAATGTAAACTATACAAAGTCTATTGCGGAAAAGTTTTATATCAACAGTTATTTTGAAATGTGTAAAAACCAATAAGCTGTAGCAGAACAGTGGTACAGGAGGGACGAAACACTAGAAAATGAAGCCCAGTGAAAGTCTTTGCTCATGTTGAACTCTGAAGCACTTTGGAAAAAGTAGATTTAAATACCTGAAGTAGTTTTGCACCAGTGGACTTTATCATCTGGTTGGTACTGATGCATTTATTGGTCTGTGGAATATGTGGAATATCGTGAAAGGATGCCTCATTTATCAGTAACTTGCTTTGATAAATGTAGGATTGTTTTATAGTTTAGTGTTTCGTGGTTACATGGTACGAAAGGGAGGCACGCATGTGACCCAGTGTGGCATAGAGGCCATGGATGCTAAACATTTATTTGCTGTGCCCAAGGCAGCCCCCCAAAACAAAGGCCCCGGAAGTCAGTAATGCCAAGGTTGAGGAACCTTGCTCTAATACATGGAATGAAAGAGTAGACTGTATTTTGTTCTTCGTGTTTGTTTCTCAACTGTTATTCTCAGATGAACTGGGGTGAATAACCATGTTTTTATGGTTATTCACCAATAACCAATCTTTGTGAACCAGGAACTTCTGTAAAATACAATGAAAATGCCATGGCAACCTCAAATTGTTAAAAAAAATGACCAAGTACTCTCAGTTTCTTTACTTTTCATGAATGGGTAGCAAAGGTAGATTAGTACCAATCTCTGTGAATTTTTGAGAATTGTAGAGCTTTTGTCTCTGAAATTTCTAAAATAAACTTGTATAATTTTTAAAAGATCTGAGAGAGCGGAAGGGAAGGAGAAAGAGTGGGAGATAAACACTGATGTAAAAGAGAAACATCGATCTGTTGCTTCTTATATGAGCCCCAACCAGGAACCAAACCTGCAACCCAGGCACATACCACAGCCAGGGGTCAGAGGGTGAGGGGTGGAACTGGCAAGCTTTCAGTTTGTGGAACAATACCCAACCGACTGAGTGGGCCACACCAGTCAGGACAGACTTGTGTAATTTTTGAAATTAAGGAAATGGTTTTTGAAAGATTCATACAGTATTTATGACAATTTAGCAGTAGGGGATTGCTTGATGGAAAAGAAATGTGAAATTTGTTGAGACTTTCACAATTAAAAAATTTTTCGTTGTTTTATATCATAATATCTGGAGAACATGTACAGTTAGGGCAAGGATGGTTAGTCAGTTGCCAGCATTCTCACCACCACCACCGGGTCCACACCCTGGCCAGGTGGCTTCGGCGCGCCTTGCTGTCAGCCCCTGCCACTGCCGCAGCACACTTCTTAATGAAATGCTGATGGGAGCCACCACCATTTTAAAGATTTGATAAGTAGTGTCCGATATGACAACCACTTATCCTAAACTATGTTCTGAAGATCTTGTAAATAGAATGCTGTGATTATCTTAACTTTGCATTTCTTTTGTGTTTTTGTTTAACAGCCTTTCTGATTTATCAAGGTTATTAAAAATCTCAAAGCTTTTCATATTCTGGTCTCATCACATGTATACTAATCAGAGTCTTAACTATAGTGAAAGAAATTTACATTTTCATTTTATTGTATTACCATATTTGCCGTGACAAAAATATAAAGCCGAAGCAGAACTGATGGTAGACAATCATCGGTCTAGGGAAGAAGGAAAATCAAGTGGCTTTACAGGTGTACTTAGGTTTGTGCTTGTCCGAAGTGAAGTCTTAAAGGAGCTGTGGTCCATGTTATAGCTTCTTAGTTTCTTTTATTCATTTCACAAGTGTTTATCAGCCACCTTCTGTGTGTCACGCGCCATTCTTGGTGATTGAGGTCCATCAGAACAAAACTGGTAAAATCCTCTCCCCCCAGTCTGGAGCTGACGTGGATTTTATTCTTAGCAACCTAAAAACTCATAAAGGTATCTAGCTTGACTAACACAGTATTAAAATTTCACAGGGATTTTCTTATGGCAGCAGTGGTATTTTCAGCTGTGAAATTAAACCACGAGTGAGGTTCTAGTCATTGTATAGTGAGGAAAGAATCACAAAATCAGGGACTTTTCCAGACTGTGCTCCCTTTTTCTTTAAAGTTGGGATTTATCCTACCTAATAGGAGTATAGCTAGTATAAAATTTGAAAGGGAATGCAAAAATGTTGTGAAAGATATTAGCTGTTACATATAACATACAATCAAACTTTTTTTTTAAATCAGAAACCCTAACGATGAAAAATACAGATCCATCCGGATTGGAAACGCAGCGTTTTCTACTAGACTCTTGCCTGTCAGAGGAGCCGTCGAATGTTTGTTTGAAATGGGCTTTGAAGAGGTAAGTCTGTTCGAGTCTCTTCTTCCCAGTTCACGTATAAACCGTTCATTATTCATTATGAACCGTTCGTTATGTTGGCGGATAATTACCTAAATAAGATAATCGTTTAAAATTAACTGATCATTTTTGGAAATAACTGTGGAACTAGTTATTTCTTCACCTATTAGACCTTTAAAAGTCACAGTAAATGTACTTTAAAATCACAGGGAAATATAACAACTCTCCCATAGGGAAAATTCTTACAGGTCTTAGTCCTTTTTAATTGGAGATCAGATACGCAACTCAAGGACCAAATTATGGCTCACTTCAGACTTTTAGCAAAAATCTGATATGTGAGTACTAATAAGGCACAACCACCTATCAGTAAAAAATGAAAACGGTAAACATGGAAAAACTGAGTTCAGTTGCCTCACATAAGTTTTGTGACAGGAGAAAAGAATCTTACTGTGTTTTGTTGTTTTTAGGTCAAAAGAAAAGTGTGGTCTTTCCATCCTCTTGGATATCATAGGGCGTAGTTTAATCTTACGACACTATGAAAGTAATTACCAAGATTGTGAATTTTCTTTATGTCTATGTGCTTAGCCATTTTACTTTATAGAATACTGAAAGAAGTTGAACCAGGTTATGGAGATCCAGTAGCCAGTAGCAGTCAGACCTGACGAGGCTGTAGAAATTGCTGGAGACATGCTGAGTTGCTATAGGATATACTCTTCCTGCCTGTTTGCTTGCCTCCCCAGATTCTATTCCAGGCCCTGGGGATACAGCAGTGAACTAGGTAGATACAGATCTTCTCTAACATGAGGCTTGCATTCTAAAAGGTTTGACAGACTGTACACTTGAAAACACAGATGGATGCAAAGAAGAAAATAAGATATGGTAATACAGGAAAAAGCAACTGGATTGGTGGGCAGCTACATAAATTGTGTGGGTCAGGGAAGGCCTCTGATGGAATAACACTTGAAGTAGGACCCGTAAGACAAGAAGCAGATCAGGTACCCGAAACTCTCCGGTAAGTGTATTTCAGGCAGAAGGATTCACGTGTGCGAAGGACTTCTAGCAGGAGTAGTTATGACACAGAAAATAGTTATACAGAGGAGTCTAGAGCATGGGATTTTAAGAACTGTGGACTTTATTCTAAGTGAGATGCATCAGAAGCCATCGGAAGGATTTAAGCAAAGAATGTTTTTAAAGATTATGTTAGCTGTTGTAAAGATAATGTTCTGGATGTTCTGGGATGGAGGCAAGGGGTGTAAAGCAGGGAGAGCAGTTAGAACGTTTGCTGTATCAGCCTGCGTGAGAAGTGGCAGTGGTTGGCGAGAGGTCCAGGAGGGCAGGGCCTTCTGTCCATTTTGTTCCCTGTGCTGCCCGCTCCTGGATCAGTGCTGGTGCTTTCAGGCAGGCAGCGGACATTGTTGGATTGAGCCTGGCAGCAGGGCAGATTGGGGAGAAGTGGCAGGATCCAGACTTCTTTTTGAAACGGAATCTGTAGGACTTGCTGGTGAACTGGATATGGGGCGTAAGGGAAAAGAAGAAATCAAGATGACTTCTAGGTTTTGGTTTAAGAAACAAAGTGAGTGGAAATATAATTTGAGAATGAGAAATCTCTAAGAGTCGAAGATAGCAAGGGATAAATCACTGCCTATTTTGTATAATTGTCACTGATATGCTACTAAATATTCAAGTAGAGATGCCAAGTAGGTAGTTAGATATAAGAATCTATAACTGAACAGGAGAGGTTAAGCTGGAGGTATAAATTATGGTGTCAACTAAACAGAGATTTTAAAACTATAGAAAAGGAAAATTGGGGCCATTACTGAATTTGTTTAAGGAAATGCAGATTTTTGAGTCAAATGACAAAAAATTGAATGACAACTGGAGACTGTACTGATTTCTCATTGTTGAAGTGTCAGACATTCAGTGGAATCGGATTTGCTCTCATTCAGCAACTAATTTGAGTGCCAGGTGGGGTGACCAACCATCAGAGTTTGTCTGCAACTATTGTGGTTTCAACACAAATGTCCCACTTTCGAGAAAACCCCTCAGCCTCAAGCAAACCAGGTTGATCACACCAGTGCCAGGTAACAAGCCAGCTTGAAACTTGTAGTAATATTTGACACAAATGGAGTCACAATTTGAGAGGAGATTATCAGGTTATGGGAAGACTAAATCAAACTTACAGTTTTGGGCTGGCTTTGGACTTGACACCTTGGAACCTGTCTGAAGTGAATGTTTCAGCGTGTCCAGGTTGCAGGAGGAACCAGTGGAGCTGCAACTGAACTCTACCACTGAAAGAAACTTGGAGGGCTTTGAGAGGAGGTAGGAATCTAAGCCCTACCCTGAAATTTTCAGCTGTGTGTTAAAATTTTGGGCATTTCGGGGATCACTTGTCTCTGAGTCTGCATTCTTTTTTGTGAAAAGTCTGAGAAGATTGAGAAAGACTGAGATCCAAACGGATATGTGACTCATCAGGCCACCTTAGTGGACTGGTTCTCACCAGGAACGACACCCACCCTCCACCCGAGCCCCCGTCCTCACCTCAGTTGGGTGAAGCATTGGAGGAGGGCAGTTTGGGTTGTCTTGGTAACTGGAAGATATTAATGACGGCATTCAGCAGGCAGGCAGGGCCAGATTTCCTTAACATCTGACAAAGAGAATTATCTCAGCAAAAAAGCATTGAGAAACATAGGTTTATTAAAATACTAGAATTCTCTCTGGTGTCTTAAAATGTTACTGGATGGAGTACATTAAGCCTTTAATTTTTTCTTTAATGAAAATATAGTGCCGTTGATAAAATTTCTTTGCTATAGACACTTTGGCCATAATCATGTTCTATTAGAACTGGTCCTGAAAAGAATGGAGGGGAGGCAAGCAGCAGCAGCATTTCTGTCTTATTGGGGGGCATCTCTGACGGAGGGTCCGAGGCATAATGTTTGCCGTGCTGTTTTACATCACTGTCCGTGGCGTTAGCTCTCTTCCTCAGTATTCCTCCTCTAACAACAGCATGAGATCAGAGCCCTCTGTGTTTGCCTGTAAACCAGACGTCCAGTTTCTCTTCCACACTCATCATAGATATGAGGTGGTCCCTTCTAATGTTGGAAAAGTCACTGTTCTAATCTGGGCCAGTTACCAGGCAGGCAGTCATCGCAACTGTAGAAACAGTCTCTTTTTACTCAGCCTTCCACCTGTGCAAATGTGTGGTTTTTGGTCTCTGTGCAGTCGAAGCTGAAGTCAGTTATAGCCTAATGATTAAGATCATGGAGTTCGAATCCTTACTCTAACAATTCTGTAGCATCCAGCAGGTTATTTAACTTCTCAGAGCCTTTGTATTTTTATATAGAAAGTGGAAATTAACCTAATGCCTCTCTTTCAGGCTGGTTGTGAGGATTGCTTGAGATAATGTATATAAAGTACTTAGCACATGACCAGAACACGTAAACACAGTAAATGGAAATAGTCTTTTTTTGGAGCTATTATGAGTATTGTGTGGAGCTTGCCGGCCTCTTTCAGCTTTTTAAAAAGTATTCTTGTGGGACTGGTTTTCACATCATTATTGAGTAACACCTTGGTCAGTTGATTCTTCTAGGTCTGCCGTCACAAGGAAAGTAAGATTGTTCTCAGTTATGGAGTTTAATTTAAATGCTTATAATCTACAGTCTACCTAGTGAGATTTTAACAAATGTTTTCTCTCATTTGTAGTTGGTGGAATTACTGTTGTAATACTGCTGCTTCTCACCACCTGGCAAACTGATTATGTTTGCACTTAACCTTCTTTCTCATTTTGTACTTTACTGTTTTACATTGTGAGCTTTGTTAGAATGTTTATTATATTTCAAAGCACTCTAATTACACTATGGGTATTTATGAAATGAATCACTCCATAAAGAATTGGACTTCTGTTGTTTGGTATTTTCTTTTGTTTGGAACAAAGACATATGCTCTTATTAAACTAATGTATGTCAGCTCTTATTTCTCTAGTCCTTGGGACAAGTATTACTGTTAACTATCCATAGTTTAGAATTGACCACGATGTACTTTTTGTCATCTGGCTAGAATTAGTGACCCCTATATACAGACTTCTAATCATGTAGCTGTTCTCTAAAGACTTGGGTTCGAAAGATTAAAAAGTTATTATGTAACTTCTTGTTGGTTTTATGTGACCAGTGATCGTTTTGTTTGGCTGTATCTCTTTTTTTTAAATATATTTTATTGATTATGCCATTACAGTTGTTCTATTTCCCCCCTTCATTCCCCTCTACCCTGCACACCCCCTCCCCCTCCATTCTCCCCCCCTTTAGTTTATGATCACATGTCTCAAGTTCTTTAGATTCTATATTTCCCATGCTATTCTTGCCCTCCCCCCATCTGTTTTATACCTACCATCTATGCTACTTATTTGCTGTACCTTCTCCCCCCTTCTCCTTCTCCCACTCCCCTGTTGCTAACCTTCCATGTGATCTTCATTTCTATGGTTCTGATCCTGATCTAGCTGTCCTCTTAGTTTGCTTTTAAGTGTGGTTGTTAATAACTGTGAGTTGGCTGTCCTTTCACTGTTCATCTTTTTTATCTTCTTTTTCTTAGATAAGTCCCTTTAACATTTCATATAATAAGGGCTTGGTGATGATGAACTCCTTGAATTTGATCTTATCTGAGAAGCACTTCATCTGCCCTTCCATTTTAAATGAAAGCTTTGCTGGATAGAGCAATCTTAATTGTAGGTCTTTGGATTTCATGACTTGGAATACTTCTTTCCAGCCCCTTCTTTCCTGTAAGGTCTCTTTTGAGAAATCTGCTGACAGTCTTTTGGGAACTCCTTTGTAGGTGACAGTCCCCTTATCTCTTGCTGCTTCTAGGATTCTCTCCTTCATTTTAATCTTGGCTAATGTAATTATGATGTGCCTTGGTGTGTTCCTTCTTGGGTCCAACTTCTTTAGGACTCTCTGAGCTTCCTGAGTTTCCTGGAAGTCTATTTCCTTTGCCAGATTGGGGAAATTCTCCTTTATTATTTGTTCAAATAAGGTTTCCACTTGTGGCTGTTCCTTTTCCCCTTCTGGTACCCCTGTAATTCAGATGTTGGAGTGTTTAAAGATGTCCTGGAAGTTCCTAAGCCTCTCCTCATTTTTTTTGAATTCTTGTTTCTTCATATTTTTCTGTTTGGTCATTTTTTTCTTCCTTCTGGTCCACTCCCTTGATTTGAGTCCCAGTTTCCTTTCCATCACTGTTGGTTCTCTGTGCATTTCCCTTCATTTCACTTAGTGTAGCCTTCATTTTTTCATCTAATTTGTGACCAAAATCAACCAGTTCTGTGAGCATCCTGATTAGCAGAGTTTTGAACTGTGCATCTGAGAGGTTGGCAATTTCTTGGTCGCTTAGAGTTATCGGCTCCGGGGGTTTGAGTTCTTGAGCCATGTTTTGGTCTGTTGGAGCCTGTTACGTATGAGGAGGGGAGCCTTAGGTATTCACCAGGGCAGAACTACCCAGGTTGCTGGTTCGTGACGCTGTATGTGGGGGCGGGGATCAGGGAGGGGCACTGGCGGTCCCCTCTGCTGCTTTCTGCTGCTTAGGCATGATCGGTCTGTCTCACTGCTTGCTTGTTCACTGGTTTATCTGCCTGGGCCTGAATGTGTGACCGCAGTCAGCCTGCCGCCTTGTGCCTTCAATGGGTCCGCCCGTTGAGACCCCACACCTGGGATCTGCCCTCGGCTGCATGCCTGGGTTGGGGTGTCTTTCCTGCTTGACCCCCCTCTGCTGCTGGCTCTGCCCCTCTTGACCCGGTGTGGCTGAACGGTTTGTTGTTGTTGGACTTTGGTATAGTTCAATTTTCTGTGGTTTGGCTGTGTTTTTTGTTTCTAAAACTTCGTTTGTTTTTTTTAACTTGGTTGTGCAAGAAAGCACAGTGTTTCCACCTATGCCTCCATCTTGGTGAAGTCTGCTGTATCTCTTTTATCATTATTTTATAGGGAATTTCACAGAAAATAATACTATCATATACCATTACAGAGGAATTACATGTTTCCAATTCATGAGGCTTTCTGACTATTCCTAAAATATAAATATTTTCCTAAAGGTTCTTTGAACTAATAAAAGATTCAGCATCATATGCTAACAAGAAAACAAATTTTCTTAATTTTCTGGTTTATGTTAGGCATTACCTTTAACTGTATATTTTAGAAGTACTATATGATGAGAAAACAATGATTTTTATATAATGTGTTTTATAGTATTGGCTTCATTTATTTATACACACACATATTCAGGGTCTGGCACAAGTAACACCTGCTTGAGTGTGGTTGGTAGGGCAATAATAACAGGTGCAATAATTTCTAGTTTTAGTTTGAACATGTCACCTAAAATGTCATATGGTGTGCTTGGTTGTGATATTGTTATTATTATTTATGTTTTTGTGATAAAAGATTGTGAAATAAGAAAGGGGTGTTATTTGTGCCAGACCCTATATCTAAGAATGACTGTTAGTATAAAACAAAGATTAATTTTTTTTCTAATTTTACAAATTCCAGGGAGAAACACATCTTATCTTTCCTAAAAAAGCTTCAGTGGAGCAGCTGCAAAAAATTCGTGACCTCATTGCCACAGAGAGAAATAGCAGATTGGATGGGTCAAATAAGAGCCACAAAGTAGAATTATCTCAGCAACCGGCAGCCAGTTCCAGTACCCAGCTTCCTATAACACAGTTGTCAAACCCCAGTGGTTTAGCCCAGCATGCGGGGAGCAGCGAGGTGCAGCCATCGAGTCCACCGTCAGCGTCAATGGTAATGTCCCAGTTCAACCTTGACTTCTTCCAAAGTGTCAAAACAGCGAGTGTATTTAAATACATCATGACTTATTCCTGAATTTTTATCCTAGCTAGTCATAATTCTAATATGTGCACATTTTCCCAACTCTAAAAAACTGTAAAATTTGTAACAAAAAGGAGGGAAATGGCTCTATTTTATTTATACTTTTAAATCTTGTGGTTTATTGCTTCTGAGGCTAAGTTTTGTTTACTATTTGTAAATGTACCTTCACTTAAATCAGTTATACAAATTAGCACAGAACCTAGAACGAAGTGACGAACTCACTGGCCGGTGGTAGAGACGTCAGACCGATTTCCTTTACTGCATCGGTACTTCTGACCTGAATTTCACCTGCAGCCGTTCACCGTGGGAGTCGTTAATGCTAGCAGCTAAGCATTCTCATTGCCTAAATTCAGTGAAAAATTTGGCTTCTTTAGGTTTAAGGTAAATAAATATTAATCTACTGAGAGTGGTGCTAGCAGTTAATGAGGCTTAGTCATTAGCATAAACAGATGTATACTTCCCCAGAACTGAAATCCAACTGCTGTTGTCTTACAAGTATTTTTTAATAGATTTTATTTATTTATCTTTAGATGGGAAGGAGAGAAATATCAATATATGGTTGCCTCTCGTGAGTCCCCTGCTGGGAACTGGCCTGCAACCCAGGCATGTGCCCTAACTGGGAATCGAACCTTGATTTTTTATTTTGCAGGCCTGCACTCAATCCACTGAGCTACACCGGTCAGGGCCTCTTACAGGTATTCTTGATACACCTGAGTGATCTCCTTTAACAGGAAATTGTCCTTTGTACAAAAATCCCTTTGATGTAGGTCCTTAAGTATTCTCTCAGTGTTCACTGTCAGAAAAATGTTCATGATTTTCTATTGTAATTTATCAGTAGCCAGCTTAAACTCATAGTCTTCCTTTAACTTTGTAAAACACCTTGTCATTATTCTCCATATAACAGAACTTTATATAGAGTCAGTTATTAAATCTACTCTCAATTTTCTCCAGCTGAATAACTCCATGGATTTTAACCTCACCTCCCTGGTAAGCAAATGATTGGCAGTCGTTCCTTTCTGTAGAGCTGGGAAGGCCTAAAGCTTGTCTTTTAAAAAAAATAAAGAAAAGCCCAGCCAGTGTGGCTCAGTTGGTTGGAGTGTTGTCCTGAATACCAAAAGGTTGTGGGTTCGATCCCTGGTCAGGGCACATACCTGGGTTGCAGGTTCAGTCCCCAATTGAGACACATGCAGGAGGCAAACAGTTGTTTCTCTCACATTGATGTTTCTTTTTCTCCCCCTTCCTCTCTCTCTCTCTTGTTGGAAAATATACATATACACATACACACTTTTTTACAAAAATAAAAATAGTGGTAGGAGCTGGTAGAAGAAGAGACAGTTACTGTTCTCTTTTATAATTCTTGTTGAGTGGTTTCTAAACTTATTTTCATGGGGAATTAACCCTTATAAGAATATTTCTTTGTGCCTCAGTCGAAAAGATAAACAAAATTAACAAAAAGTTAACCAGACTCATCAAGAAAAAAAGAGAGGGGGCCCAAATAAATAATATCAGAAACAAAAGAGGAAAAGTTAAAATAATTTTTGAGAGTATTTCATTGCAATTATAAAAATAATAGTTTTTAGATCATGGTAAATAAAATGATTTAATTTTTTAACTAATCTTACAAGACATCATCCTAGTCTGGGTCTCTATATGATCTTTATAAGAGAAGAAATCTCTTTGGACAGAAGATTTCAATGTCCAATTTCTTGTTTGTAAACCTACTATTTTTGAAGGTAAAATATACCTACATACCTTTCAGTAGGAGATTACTTAAATTACAAGACACATCCTTAAATCAGCATTTTTTTGCATTCATTATAAATGATGATGGGGTCTATTTTGACACAGAATTATTATGTGGGAAAAAAGGTAAACTCAGAATTCCAAAGTTAAACTCACATGTTGTATGTATGTGTATAATTCAGTTTTCGTAGGAAAAATGCACAAAAATAAATGTTTATTTTTAGCAGGTCTGGAAAGCTATACACAGACTCTGAGTGGTGAAATTATAGGTGATTTCATATTTTTATACCATTCAATATTTTCTGAAATAGTTTTTGCCACATTTATTACTTTTATAAATAGAAAAAGGGGGTTTTGTAAGAAATAAGTTTATTGAGACCTGGCTGGTATAGCTCAGTGGATTGAATGCTAGCCTGCTAACAGAAGGGTCACCAGTTTAATTCCTGGTCAGGGCATGTGCCTGGGTTATGGGCCGGGTTGTGAAAAGGTCCTGGTTGCAGGTGTGTGGAAGGCAAGGGATCAGTCTGTCTCTTGTACATTGGTGTTTTTCTCCCTCCCTTCCCCTCTGTCTAAAAATGAATAGATGAAATCTTAAAAAGAAATACATTTTTTGAAATCACAAATTGATTTAAACTATCATTAAAATACAGAACTTTTGTGTGTAAAACAAGTGCTAAATTTAAAAGCCACAAAAGTGCAAAGGCTTGTAGAAAGAGGGCTGGTAGAATGTGGAACATTGGTTCTTTACTAAAGAAGTGAATTTGCTAATCCACTTCTGCTGGTTGTATGATTTGACAAAATATACACATTGTACTTTTTCTTATAAAAAATCTTAAATATATCTCACATTAGAAACCAAAATAATTGAAATCAAGTATGTTAGTGAAGAAAAAATCTTTTTGATTTAAAAGATACAGATTTCACATTTTAAACTTCCGTTTTTATTACAAATAACTAACTCTGAAGCCATTAACTGCTGCCTTATGTACATGGCTGTGCAGCTGCTGTAATTGCCATGCAATCAGCAAACTTCTATTTTTATGACTTAACTTTTTTCTGGAGTTGTGCCAATTAATATATAAAGAAATAAGGCAAGAAAATAAGTGTTATTGTTCAAGATTGTTTGTCTGCCTTTAAAAACCACAATGAATGAGTTAATTTTCAGACTGAAAGTATTAAATTGAAAATAAAAATTCCCTGGATGCATTCTTACCCTCTTGGTAAGTGAAAATCTGCACTTAAGGAAAAAAACGATGCCATAGTAAATGCCTCATTTTTATAAGAATTCTTTCAAATAAAAATGGAAACTTCTTTGTAATGTTTCTGTAACGGTTCTAGTAAAGGAGCGTATTTCCCCCGGGTTATGAATACCCCGGATTTCTTATCAGCAAATCATTCAGGTTCCTTCGGTCATCTGTTGAATTCATCATCCCTTCTGTTAACGCAGGAAATGCGTCTGTTCTTAAAGGCCAGGACCTTTTCTGTGCCTTTATCCCCTCTCTTACGTTCCCTCTGGGATCTCACGTGGACTGTGCCCAGTCTTGAATCTCTTCTTTTCTTGAAAATTCTTCTCAATGGCATTTAAACCTTGTTTTGAGGCATTTTCATCGAAAGTTGGACGATTGGCATCAGAATAACTTGGACGTTCAGATTCCTGGACATAACCCAGACCAGCTGAACCAGAAAGGGAGTGGGAGAACTTGGGACTCTGCATTTTTCACAAGCAGAGTAACGTTTAAGAACCTTTTCTATAAGCTCTCATATGTCAGAAGCAAGCCAGCACACAAACACCCCTGGATTCTGCGTGTCCTGTTCTCCTCATTTCCTCTGCACGGTGAATTTTAGGAGCTGAGTCCACTGCACTCATCACTGCATCTCATGTGCTCCCTAGCAGGTGTTCATGTTATGTGCTCTGTCAGCGAAATGATTGAGCATATCATCTCAATCTGCATTTGTTTATAAATTATATACATATACTTTTATGCCAATATACTCACTGTGTATATTATAAACAATGTAAAGAGGAGGTTAAAAGTGGAAAGTGTTTAGAATTTTTTAAAAATGTATTGACTATCATTAACAAATGTTGGACATGAATCTATATTTTAAGTACTCTTGATAATTTTGAATTTGGGGGCTATCTTTGTAAAATCTCAGTAGATTTTTGATTTTTTTTTTTGCTTTAAAATATAGCTGTTGAAGGGCTCATACTAAAACAGCAGAAGATGTGTTAGCCCTGCAGTTTTCCTGTTTACATGTCCTTGCATTATCAGTATCAGCATCAGTGCCTACAGGTCTTTGTATTCTTTTTTTTTAGGCCAGGTTGAAGGTTAATTTAGTTAAAACTACATCATATGATCTGTAAATCCTCTTAACCAGGCACATTTAAACTGCAAAAGTTTGAAACACTGTGAGAATGGAAGCAGGGGTGAACCTTCCCATGTTCTCTGCTCTACCAGTCCTTTCCTCCCTCGGGATAGTTTCTCTAGCCTGAGAGGGAGCCCTATTAATCAAAGTATTAAATGTCATTATAACAGTGCTTTACCTTCTGTACAGAAAATAGTGTGAGCACAAGTTCTAATACTCTCTGTTCACGTCCCAGTGGACCATTTCGGGCAGCTCCTTTGGGTGCACATGGCCCGCTTTGGGGCACCACTCAGACAGGTCCGTCTCTTACTAACACAAAACTTCTCACTAAGATCCTTGATAAGCTTCCTGCTGCTAAATGGCATGGACTTTTCTTCAGGTCATTTTTTATCTGCATACATAGTTTTCCCCTCAGTCGATCATTTTCTGGTTTTTCTCCTACTGTGAGTAGTTCAAGTAGTTCAACTGTTGCCCCCCCCTTGTTCATATCAAAAATCTGTGGATCATTCCTATGTGCTTTTCTACTTTTCTAAAGGGCCCCTGGCCCCACAGTTCAGTCACCAAGACTTGTTGATTCTGTTTCCTGAGTTCTTTTTATATCCATTCGCTTTTCTGCCTCCCCCATTTAAGCTGCCAGCTCTCTCAAGAGTTCTGCAGTCCTTCCCGTCGGGTCTTCTTATACCTGCTTCTCCACACTACATTGTGAAAACGCTGATCTGATTGTTTTACTCCCTTGCTTAAGCCTCTTTCATAGTTTCCCATTACAGTGGAAAGAGGTGGGAGAAATCTAGCTTCTCACCAGCCCAACTCCATTCTCAGCCTTCTCTTTCTGCCATTGTCCCCTTAGTTCTCTGTGCTCTGATCTTCTCTCTGATGCTTCATGTTATACTAAGCACATCACCTACACACATGCTCCCCATCTACCTACACGCCGCTCTGGTCTTTTTCTTCCCCTACGTACTAGCTGCTTCTCATCCTTTATATTTTATGACAAATATATAGTGATGGAATTCTAGGGTCAGAACCCCTTTGAAAAGTCTCACTATCCTCATTATTTGCTTTGTAATTCTTATCATACCTATGAATAAATTGTCTATACCATTATATCCCCAGTACTTTGCAAATAATAAAAGGTCATTAAATATTCGAATAAATAAATATTGTATCAGTGTTTGTTTCTGTATTCACAGACTACTTTGTGAGGATAATGTCCTTGTGTCTTTTGGTCTCTTTTATTTTTGACTTAATGTGGTACCTCTGTCATTCCTGTTCAGTGCCTCCCCCCAGCCCCTTAAACTGTAAAGCGAGCCTGTCTGTCTTGTGCACCCATCCCCAGTGCTCAGTACAGTGCCTGACGTTGAAGTAAGTATTTGGCAATGGCTTTTACTTTTTCATTAATCTATCTCTACCTTTTAATACACACATTTAACTCATTCGTACTTACTGTAATAACTAACATGTTGAAACTTATTTCTTACATTTTATTTTGTATTATCTATGTTCTTGCTTTCTTGGCTTCTTTTTCTTTTTTCTATTTTTGTTTTGTTTAAGTGGACTGTGCCAGAAGTAACTATTCTTAGCTTGGACACTCCTCTTTCCTTTTAGGAATCTAACCATCCTCCAGCACTGTTCAGAGGTACATCCTTTGTTGACAGGGACTGACAGGGTGAAGGGGTACAAATGTCTAGGTGTTCCTGCTGCAGGGCCCAGTCCCAGCTCCCTCATGCTTACTCCAAGGCCCCTTCCTGCTCTGGGGATTCTGTGGTTCCCTTGTCTTAGGGATTATTTTGAGACCTTTTTTTTTTTTAGTTTTCATAACCACTCCCTCTGGAAGGCATATTGCTGTGATTTCTTCCTTTATTCTATTTGTATTTGCCTTTCCTCTTTAAGAGTAGTACTCTCCTTTGCGAATGCTGAATAGAGTTTAAAAAATTTATAATACTTACAGGAGTTTGAAGTGGAAAGGGCTGTCACATGCGTTGCACAGAGCATTGTCTTGATCCGAGCTTGTGGACAAGAACTTACCATACCCCTGTTTAAATATATTCTCAGTGATAACACTCAGAGGGAAAAAGCAGTCTCCTAATGCTGATTTTGTAAAGGTTTTGAGCATAATTATCTCAGTAAATCCATACGTTCCTCTTTATGACATCATAGAACCACTGTTTTGTAGCATATATTATTTTTGTAGCATATGAAGAAAAACTAATTTCAGTGTTTTTTTCCCTGTTAGGTTACTGCTGGTCCAGTCATTCTAAAAGTGCTTCAGGCCAACCTTCAGCATGTGCTGGTCTATGAGAATCCTGTTCTCCAGGAGAAAGCGTTAGCTTGCATTCCAGTCCAAGAGCTAAAAAAGAGATCTCAAGAAAAGTTATCTCAAGCTAGAAAATTGGATAAAGGTATGGCTTTATATAACCATTCATTGCTAAAAAGGCAGCATTGCTAAATAAACGGAAACATGAAATGGTGCCTTTTGCTGTATACATTGTGAATATCTAACCTATTTGTATTTGGATTTTTAAGGAATACAGTAACAGCGTAACTTTATTGCATATAGCTAGTAGACATGTTTATTAACATTAAAAAACTTTTTACATGAATATTTCACAGTTTAATCATTATTATTGGTAGGTGAGTTTTTTTAGGTATAGTAGAACTTGAGTCCATGGAATATACGATGGCATTATTAGTGAATTTTGATGTGAATCTGACAGAAACCATATGCATTATTAATTCATGTGATTAGACCATTGGTTCACCTCAATTAATACAAAGACATTATTTACTAATTAAGAATGTAGATTTTTGAAGCCAGCTGCCTGGGTGCAAATTCATTTATGCCACTATTATGCCTCACTGAGCAAGTAACTCTCTGCCTCAATTTCTTCATTTGAAAATCAAATAGGAATGACAGTTTTAAGAAATAAATGAGATATCACATGTAAATGGCTCTGAACAATGCTTTCCATATCCTTCTACCAGTAACTAAGTTATTGTTATCATTAACGGTCTTAGGATTTTAGTTATTAAATCAGTCCAGCTTAAGCATTTGACTTCGCATTTCTATGCAGTTGTTTCTTTTCTGGCTGTTGTGAGGACTCAGAGGAGAATGATGATGACAGTACTGTGTTTCTAGAAGTTCATGTTTAATCTAACAGTCATGACTATCTTTTTGTTGGAAAACTTTCATGTTACACAGGGAAAGCTAAATTCTCCCTGCCAATCAGTCCTCTTCCGTAGATAACAGCTGTTATCTTGTGATATGTTCCTTTTCATCTTGTTCTGTATATTTACACTCATTTCAAGTTATCTGTAAAAATAGTTTAAATACCATATGATCTCACCTATAAGTGGAACCTAGTAAACAAACAAACAAGCAAGCAAAATATAACCAGAGACATTGAAATAAAGAAAAAAACTGACAGTAACCAGAGGGGAGGTAGGAGGGGATAACAGCGGGGGTAAAGGCCATCAAGGAACATGTATAAAGGGGGACTTCCGCCAAGATGGAGGCGTAGGTGGAAACACCTTCTGTCCGCTCACAACCATATCTAAAAAGAACAAAGTTTTAACAACAATAAACGCAACCAAACCACACAGAAAATCGACAATACAGAGTCCAAAAACAATAAAATGCTCAGCTAAACCCGTAAGAGGGGCGAAGCCAGCAGCAGAGCAGGTTGGCCAAAAAGATCCCCAACTGGGGTGGTTTGCTGGCAGCCAAGGGCGCGGATCCCAGGTGCTGGCTAGCAAGGGCAGACATAGGGAAGAGGCGCGGCTGGCTGTCTGCTGTCAGTGGAGCATTTGCATGCAGATAAACCAGTGAAGAGGCGAGCATTGAGACCGCACGGGCGCAGGTCGGTGGGCTGGCACATTTCCGTTCAGCTAAACAGGCGGGGGCGAGCGGTGGGACCGACTGGGTGAGCGGAGAGGACCACCACTGCTCCCTCTCTGACTCCGCCCCCACATACAGTGTCACAACCCAGCGACCTGGGTGGCCCCACCCTGGTAAACAACTAAGGCTCTGCTCGTCATATGTAACAGGCACAAACAGATCAAAACATGGCTCAAGAACAACTCAGAGCCCCAGAGCCAATAAATCTAAGCAATGAAGAAATAGCCAAACTTTCAGATGCACAGTTCAAAACACTGGTGATCAGGATGCTTACAGAACTGGTTGATTTTAGTCACAAATTAGAGGAACATATGAAGGCTAAATTAATTGAAATAAATGGTAATGCACAGGAAACCAATAGTAATGGAAAGGAAACTGAGACTCAGATCAGAGGAGTGAACCAGAAAGAGGAAAAAATGATCAAATAGAAAAGGATGAAGAAACAAGAATTCAAAAAAATGAGGAGAGGCTTAGGAACCTCCAGGACATCTTTAAACGCTCCAACATTCGAATTATAGGGGTACCAGAAGGGGAAGAGGAATAGTCACGAGTGGAAAACCTATTTGAACAAATAATAAAGGAGAATTTTCCCATTCTGTCAAAGGAAATAGACTTCCAGGAAATCCAGGAAGCTCAGAGAGTCCCAAAGAAGTTGGACCCAAGAAGGAACACAGCAAGGCACATCATCATTACATTAGCCAAGATTAAAATGAAGGAGAGAATTCTAGAAGCAGCAAGAGATAAGGGGACTGTCACCTACAAAGGAGTTCCCATCAGACTGTCAGCAGATTTCTCAAAAGAGACCTAACAGGCAAGAAGGGGCTGGAAAGAAGTAGTCCAAGTCATGAAAACCAAAGACCTACAATGAAGATTGCTCTATCCAGCAAAGTTTTCATTTAGAATGGAAGGACAGATGAAGTGCTTCTCAGATAAGATCGAATTCAAGGAGTTCATCATCACTAAGCCCTTATTATATGGAATGTTAAAGGGACTTATCTAAGAAAAAGAAGATAAAAAAGATGAACAGTGAAAGGACAGCAAAAACTCAAAGTTATCAACAACCACACCTAAAACAAAAGCAAATTAAGAGGACAGCTAGATCAGGAGTGAACCATAGAAATGAAAATCATGTGGAGGGTTAGCAACAGGGGAGTGAGAGAAGGAGAAGGGGGGAGAAGGTACATAAAATAAGCGTAAACAATAGATAGAAAATAGATGGGGGGAGGGTAAGAATAGTAGGGGAAATACAGAATCTAAAGAACTTGAGACGTGTTCATGAACTAAAGGGGGGCTGGTAGGGGAGGGGTGTGTAGGGTGGAGGGGAATGGAGGGGGGAAATAGAACAAATGTAATGGCATAATCAATAAAAAATAAATAAAAAATCATTAAAAAAAGAACATGTATAAAGGACACATGGACAAAGCCAAAGGAAGATGGATTCAAGGGTGGGAGGTGGGGATGGGTGGGATGGGGAGGGGGGAATCGAGATGACTGTACTTGAACAACAGTAAAAAAGAGAGAGAAAAGTAGTTTAAGTTGTGTGGGTTTACATAATACTTATCATCCCATGCATCCTGGGCTCCTTGGTGTTTTTCATTTACTGTTATGTCTCAGAGATCTTTTTGACTCTCCGAGATGTTCTGTGGTATGCATATGCTGTTATTTGTACACTTTCCTGTTGGAGGACAGGGAAGTGTTTTACCATTTCTCTCCAGTCTAAATGCTGCTGCAGTGAAGATTCTTGCAAAGCACGCCTCCTGGCATATGTGCACAGATGTTTCCCTGAGACAGATGTAAAAGTCTCACGGGTGTGTGATATATTTGTTACAGTGGATCCTGGCAAACAAACCAATTTTCAGTTCATATCAGAAGTGTCTGAGGGTATTGGTTTCCACTTAATGAAATTATTGAACTTCTTTTAAGGGCTTCCTGAATTTTTCTGATGGTTTTGTTAGTATTCTTACTGATTTGTAGAAATTCTTTATATATTCTAGGTACTTTTCTTTGTTAGCTATGTTACTTTTTCCCTACAGTGTTCTCTGTTTAATTTTACTTGATGTATATTTTGATATATAGAGTTATAAATTTTTATAAGAAATTGTTTTTATTGTATAATTTTTGCCTTGGTTAGATAATATTTTTATATAATAATATATAATATAAAATAATTAGGATGAATGAATTATAATAGGGATCTGTTATCTTGATAGCTTCTTGTCCCGATGTCAATTACGGAGCAGTCTGTCCTCTTAGAACTGCTTCGAAAGGCTAGCTTTATTAAACATGGTTCATCACTTAGAAGTCTGACTTTCAGAACTTTCTTTTGTCTTGTTGATCTGTTGCCTATTCTTCACCAATATCACAATATTTTAATCATTAGAATTTTGTGATGTGTTTTGGTTGATAGTGGGCAAACTTATCTCACGGTTCTTATTCAAGGTTATATTGACTATTTTGTGCCTTTTTGCTTCTATTATGACTTTTGCATTATTTTATAATTTTAATTGGGATTGCATTAAATTTGATTAATTTGTGGAGAATTAACAACTTGAGAATATTGAGTTTCCTCATCCAGGAAAATAATGTTTCTGGCCTTTTTATCTTCTCTGTAGTTTTTTCTATAGTTTTTTATTTTGAAGTACATCAAACATAAATACAAGAATAGAGCATAATATATCAGACACTCATGACCAGCATCAAATGTTGTTAGATCTTAACATTATGCCATACATTTCCCTCATGTATCAATTTTTAAATAAAATTAAATATAGAGATGAGAGTCCCTGGATAGGTCTCCTAGATTTTTTTCTCTTTCTCCTTTTCTTCATTTCAGAGATACCATAGCCTTGAATATGGTCAAGAAAAAAATTTTATTTGATGAAGTAGATATGATATCATATGTCATGCTTGAGTGCTAGTGTCATTATATACAGTGTAGACATTGTCATGTTTCTGTGTGTTTTGTGGAGAGTATCCATGGATGGATTATGTTGTGTGTTGAAGCACTGATAAAAAGCTAATAGGGTGATTTTTAAAGTGTCTGGGGTTTTGTGATTTCTGCTATGATTTTGTGATTGCTTCATATTTACTTACATATATACCCAACACCAAATTTAATGTAGTAATTTTAAAGTGTTTTTCCAAATCAGATTTTTTTTCTTACTTTCTGTGTGTTTTGGGATCAATTCCAAAGTGACCATAGTTCCCTGAGAGATTGTTGTGTTCAGCTGAGGTTAATGCGTAATGTCATTTCAAGGGTACAGAGTGACAAACACCCTACTGTTGGAAATGTGCAGTATACTGTTATGTATTTCAGCCCAGCTCACATTGGACTGGCGTTTATTTCTTGCATCGATATTCTGTGTAAACCTTTTCATCATCTTTTATTTTCATATATTTTAGCTCATATTTGAGAATAAAATATGTGGATACTTTCATGTTTGTCAGCTTTAGCTCTTACTTGGTTCTGTTTTGATTTCTCAGGTACTAATTTAAGTGATGAGGATTTTCTTTTGCTGGAGCTTTTACACTGGTTTAAGGAAGAATTTTTTCAATGGGTGGATGACATTTCGTGCAGCAAATGTGGTGGCAAGACTAAGTCTAGAGGTGAAGCCTTATTTCCCAATGACGATGAGCTAAAGTGGGGTGCAAACAGAGTAGAAGATCATTACTGTGGTGCATGCCAGCTCAGCAGTCGGTTCCCGAGGTGGGTATCCCCTGGACAGTAAAATCAGAGCAATCACTGAATGGAATGGGTAGGAGAGAACTTTTATTAAATGACCTTTTTAATTTTCATTTCAGATTTTAGGGCAGGGATCAACAAACTATGACTGGCAGGCTAAATCCAGCACACATCCTATTTTTGTCAATACAGTTTTATTGGAACACATTCATACTGACTTGCTTATTTATGTGTCCAACCTGCGGCCCATGGGCCGCATGCAGCCCAGGACGGCTGTGAACATGGCCCAACACAAAATCAGAAATTTACTTAAAACGTTATGAGATTTTTTTGTGTGATTATGTGTTGCAGTGTGTTTACTGTGTGGCTTAAGACAACTCTTCTTCTTCCAGTGTGGCCCAGAGACACCAAAAGGTTGGACTCCCCTGTAACTGTTTTTACATTGCAGTGGTAGAGTCGAATAGTGAAAACAGATCAGATGGCCTGTAAAGTCTAAAATAATTACTGTCTGTCTTTTTATAGGAAAAGTTGTTTGAAACTTGCTCTTGAATAGAAATTGAGTATTAATTGAGTATGTCCTAGCACATTTAATACTGTTAACCTTGTATTCTTTTAATACATAAATTTTAATATTCTGATAACTTTAATACTTGATAGAATATAAAAATAATGCTAGCGAGAGTAATAGTACCAATAATTGTGGTAGTAAATACAGTGCTGTACTTAAAACAATCATCAGATGGTCATGTGAAAGACAAAAGTGTAGTAGCATCGTGTGTGTATGTGTGTGTGTGTGTGTGTGTGTGTGTGTAATTACAGACATTTGTTTTAATTAGGTGCCTCCCCTGCCCAGCCTAACCTACTTTCATATCTCTAAATTTTAAACTAGGGAAATTTGAAGCTTTCAATTAATTTTTCTATTAATTTATAAGCCTGTTATCAGATTTAATTAATTGGCAATACTTGTAAAGCTTGGATGTATCATCAGGCTAGAAAAGGTATCATGTGTTTAAAATAGCTAATTTTGTGTGCTTAGGGACTCAATTCTGTCCTAACTGGGAACCATCCCTGTGATATACAGACTATAGGATAAACAAAATCCAGTATCCAGTAATGAACTAAAATTTGTACAAGTTATTTCTTTATTCATCATACATTTGCACAGCATACTTGGCAAAGATTTGAAGATAAAAGATCCATAATCAAATTCCTCTCAGAAGTTCTTTTTAGGCAATTGAATATAAACTGATGGTGCAGTGTAGAGGGGACACAGGCCGACAAAGATATCGTGCTGTTTTTTCCTTCTGAACCGTGCTCGATTTCCTGTTAGCTGCTCTCTGTGTAGGGCTGGGGTGGTGAGCACTATTAATTGGGGGCTGAGCTGGTCGTTCTACTCGGCACAAGTAGTACACAGAAGATGGCGATATAGGATGTTCTAATTCTGCTGTTTGACTTCTTAATGTAAATTTATAACTTTTTTCAATGATTTAATTACCTAAATTATAAATCCATTTAACTTATTTTAAGCAAGAGCACCTGCTTAAGACAAACTTGTCCGTGCAGAGCCAGTTCCTTAATGCAAGCGTGTCCTTCCCTCCCAGGCTCAAGGCCAGCATTTCTGCTCCACTGAGGCACTTGTCCTGCTTGGCTTTATCAGGTCAAAATCCTTCTCAACACAAATGCAAAATTTACTGTTCTACAGTTTTGTTGTAATTTTGTAATTGGAGACAGCAAACATCTTTCAAAAAAACCACCTCCAAATTAACAAGCACCACATTAAGTAATTGAGAAAAAGTAAATTCCAGTCAACATGATTATTAGACACAAAAATAGTATTTTAAGTAAAACTGAGTTCAGCTAAGCTTTAAGAGCTTTATTGAGTAGTCTGCTCAAGTTGTTCACCTTTTAAATACAGTGAGGTGATTATACTACTTGTTATGGAAAGGCTGATGCTCAAAGCAGATTTCCTAGAGAATCGCTTTCCCGGGGCAGGTCCTGTCTGTCCCTTCAGGACCAGCTCAAACAGAAGCCCTCGTTCCCAGCCACTCCCCCGTGATGCTCATCTGACCTGTATGGTGTGGATCACGTTCTGCTATGGATGCAAGTTGTGTTCATTCCTTCTCCCTCTGAGGACTGTGAACTCCTTGAGGGCTGCACCATTGTGGAACCATTTTTACCAAGGATTCTAGCACACTGCCTCATGTGTTCTTCTAAGCACTTTATTACAAAAATGAAATTAGAAATATTATTGCTTAGCACAGAGGTAATGTAAATTCATTAAAATTCTTATTTTGGATAGTGAATCAAAACTTTTTGTTGTCGTTGTTTAAAACCAGGTATAATAACCCTGAGAAACTTTTGGAAACGAGATGTGGACGGTGTGGCGAGTGGGCCAATTGTTTTACACTGTGCTGCCGAGCCTTAGGGTTTGAAGCTCGCTATGTTTGGGATTACACAGGTACAGAACTGGTATGGGCAGGGAGTCGTAGGGCTTTGCAGATTTAAGGACTGGGATTTACAGTCTAGGCCTGTTATTCTGTCTGTTACTTTCTGGCCTTGTCAGTCTGAGCTTCCATTTGCCTTCGCTAAAATAAGAGTAATACCAACCTGATTGGTTCTTTGTGAGGATCATAAGATTTTTGCAGCACTCTTAGCATTTTGCTTAGTGCTTTGCACTGTAAACATTCTTTCCATGACATTTTTAGTGATGGTGTTTCTATGTAGGTAAGAACATGTGTAGTAATGTGCTATAGAAATCTTCACTTTTGTAGGGATTAGCATTAAAGATGTAATAATCTTAATATACAAAAAAGTAATAAAAGCCATGTGAAATTTATATTGTCCTTGTTTAGAAATGACTCACTGTCCCCTACATGTGAAAAAGTTGTCCTCCTTGTTTAGTGTTTTACTTGTGTTTCATTGTTGTTTTTTTTAAATAATAACATTAAACCTTCACTGAATAGTTACTGTTCTCTTACAATCAAATATAGAACATTAATAACCAGAGATCCTCTGTTGGACCACCTTCTGGTCCTGGGTCTTGAAGGTCAAGAAACACTGCCATTTTCAAAAGTGGCATTGACTTCTTTGTATTAGCAAACTGATCCCTCTGTTTTTTATGCTGTTATTCAGTACGTTCGCCTTCCTGAAAGTCATGGCTCACATTATTTTTAATTAAGCCTGAAACTGACTCCAGAAACATTTTCAAAGATTGCAAAGAGACAGAGAAAACAGATGTTCTAGAGTATTATGTTCCACAAAATATTCAGTCTTATTAAGTAAAATTTAGAATATTACAAATAACTTTATTATGATTCTTAGGAGTTTGTATGTAGTTTCTGGCTGTCGTTCTGGTTTTATAAACTTAACTTTTTCCCCCTGTTTTCCCTGTTGCTTTCTTGTCTCTCCCTCGCGTAGACCACGTCTGGACAGAAGTCTACTCTCCTTCTCAGCAGCGGTGGCTGCACTGTGATGCGTGTGAAGATGTCTGTGACAAGCCACTCCTCTATGAGATAGGATGGGGCAAGAAGCTTTCTTATGTCCTAGCATTTTCAAAAGATGAGGTAGGGCATAAGAGGAAAAAAATTTTTTCTAAGAATAAAATACAATTTTCTGACAGCTTTTGAAAGTGTAATTGACATGAGAAAAAGTGGCATATATGTAAAGTGTACCATTTATTAAAATGTGTCATATATATATATACCTATGAAATTACATTTATAGAATCAAGATAGTAAATAATATCCACTGTCCTTGGAAGTTTCTACATGTTCCTTTGTTCTCCCTGTTTCTTGTCCCTAGCCAAGCAACCACAGGTCTGCTTTCTGTCATTATAGCTTAATCTGCATTTCTAGAGTTTTATGTAAATGGAATCATATATAGATGGTCCTACTTATGACTGTCAGGTTAACAATGGTTGGTCTTAAAATTTTTCAACTTTATGATGGTGCAAAAGCAATGCACATTCAGTAGAAACTGCACTTCAGATTTGGAATTTTTATCTTTTTCTGGACTAGTGATACGTGGTACCGTACTGTTAGCGTGCTGGGCAGTGGCAGTGACCCATAGCTCCTGGTACTCTATTCAGTCAATCACAGGGTAAATAACCAGTACTCTACAGTGTACTAGTACTAAGTATATTTTCAACTTATGATACTTTCAACTTACGATAGATTTACTGGGATGTAACCCCATCACAAGTTAAGGAGCATCTATAGCCTCTTTTTGGTGAGGTGAGGATGGGAGAATCTAGTTTCTTTTATTCACTGTAATTATTTTGCAATTCATTCATGTGTTTTTATGTATCAGTGATTCTTTTTATTGCTGAGAAGTATGTCATTATATGGATGTACCATAATTTGTTTATCTGTTTATTTGTTTATATTCACCTGTTGATGGACATATTTGGTACTTCCCCATTTTTTATTATTTCAAATAAAGCTGTTAGGTACATTCAACGTAAGTGTTTACATGAGCATATGCTTTTTCTCCTTTGGTACATTCCTAGCAGGGGAATGGCTAGACCATATGGTAGGTGCATGTTTAGCTTTTTAAGCAACTGCTCTACTGTTTTCCAAAGTGATGATGCCACTTTACATTCTCACCAGCAGTATGTGAGTTTCCAGTTTCTCCATGTCTTTGCTAACTAACATTTTTTATGGTCTCATTTTTTAATTTTAGCCTTTTTACTAGATATGTAGTGGTATCTCGTGGTTTTCATTTGCATTTATCAACAATATTGAGCATCTGTGTATGTGCTTATTTACCATCTCTTTGCCCATTTTTTTAAAGGGAATTTTTTTATTACTGAGTTTCAAAAGCTTCTTGTATATTCTGAATGCAAGTCCTTTATTAGATACATGCTTTGCAAAAAATTTTTTTTCCTTATTTGTGGCTTATTATTTCATTTTGTCATGACTTTTGAAGAAAAATCGATGAAGTTCAGTTTATTGATTTGTTCTTTTATGGATCATGCTCTTTGATGTGGTGTCTAAGAAATTTTTGCCCAAGACAATGATACTCTCCTTTGTTTTGTTTTATAAGTTTTATACTTTTAATTTTACACTTTTATTTTGTATATATTCCAAGTGATGGATTGAAATTCATTGTTTTGCATGCAAATAACGAACTGTTCTAGCACTTTTATTGAAAGGATTATCTTTTCTCATTTGAATTGCTTTTGCATCTTTGTGAAAAATCAGTATTATAATATAAATTTTAGACACTAAAAAATAAAAAGTTTTTGTTTGTTGAGTTTCGTGAAATTTATAGATAAGTTTAAAAAAGCCTAAATATTATGAAAACTTCATTTTATCACAGTCCCTTTCTTGGAAGTGTGCCCATTAGAAAATGAGTTTAAAAAGTAGCAGGTTGTCCAGTGTTTTTCCACAGGTTTTTAAACGTTAAACAAAGAATAACACTTAAAATTTTATATTTAGGAATTACATTCTAGGTATTTAAGGTTGATGGCTATAATCTTAAATATTTGTGTTCTGTAATTTGAGGTGGTTGATGTCACTTGGCGATATTCTTGTAAACATGAAGAGGTAATTTCCAGGAGAACTCAGATTAAAGAAGACTTACTTCGAGAAACTATTAATGAGCTTAATAAGCAGGTAGGTGGTGGGCATTTGTCATTTTTTTGAGAGGGCATTTGAAATTTCTTATATAATCAAGAGCCAGCTTTTAACCCATTGAAAATTTAGAGTTGTAGCATGATTTTGCAAGCAAAAATATTTTTATACATTAAATGTCTTTTCATTGAAAAGTTTCATGATCTATTTTAAATACTGTACTTTTTTACATTACATTGTCATGTCTCTTAAAATTCAGTGAAATAAAATTTCAGTATATGTAATACTTGACAAAAAGTATGTTGTTTTATTTATCTAAGTAATTGTGTCTTAAATCTAATTACATACACGCACACTTATTCAAGTATGGAAATTTCTGAAACAAGGCAGAGGAAATTGACTCCTCCAAGAAGACCCAGGAGTCCATCGAGGGAAGATTCCTTTTTTATTTTTCTATCTATGCCTTTGGTAGCATTGAAACTTTTTGCCATATATTCGTGTGCCATTTTTTCTAATAATTTAAAACTTAATTTTGCTGCTGGAAGGCAGTTAGAATATGGGCAGTCACCTTAATACAGCCAGTGATTGAGGTTTAGTCTATTTATAATCTCACCCTATTTCTAATGTGTAGCCCATCAGAGATCCTAAGCCGAAAACCTGGAGAATTTTCAGAAACCCTTACCCTTGGAAGGCTCTGAACTCCGGTTATTTTACTTGCCAGCACTTTCTTTCTGCTAAAAATTCTGCTTTGGTTTTTCAGCACTTTAGCCTTCATTTCATGCTTGCTTTCTCAGCCTCTCCTCATTTCAGTTAATAATTAGCAAGTGCCTGGAAGGGAAAAGAGGTGTAGTATTGGTTCACCTCAATTTATTTCTTGGGATCTTGGTTTTTTTGGTTCTGGCTGCATAGGTAGATTTCTGTTGCATTCGAACAGGTGTTTGTACGTGCGTGTCTGTGTGTATGTTTTCCCACTTTTCCAGCTTTTCTCACTAGGACAGGAGTCTGACACGAGATAGTTTATCGTGGCCATAACCAGTTTCCCACTTTCTTTTAAACCTAGGACAGTAAAGGTCATGGAGATTTGGATATGGGTATGAGGATAAGGTTTCTAAAATTATTTTTAATTTTCTAGTGTCCATTTTATTTTCCAAATAATTATACATGTGAAAATAAAGTTTGTTACTTCTTTTAAGTTTCTCTTAAATGCAAATGTTTTAAGTATATTCTTACCTAGAGATGGACCTCTACATTTTTCTCATCTTAATGACTTCTTTTTAAAACGTGAATTGCAGAGGCAAATGTCTTTGTCAGAAAACAGAAGAAAAGAACTTCTCCAGAGAATAATTGTGGAGCTTGTTGAATTTATATCTCCCAAAACCCCTAAACCTGGAGAACTTGGAGGAAGAATATCTGGGTCAGTGGCCTGGAGAGTAGCCCGAGGTGAAATGGGTCTAGAGGTATTTAATTCATTATTAGCATGATAATCTCCTCACTCCTGTGTCTTACACTGCACTCTTTACTATTGCAAAATGCATTGGCTTTCAATTAAGTTTTCAGTATAATTACTAAGAAATGTAAATATTTAGACTGGCCAGGTTGGTTAGTGTTTGGAGCTTTGACCTGTACACCAAAAAGTTTTGAACTCTATTCCAGGTCAGGGCACACACTTAGGTTGTGGATTTGATCCCAATCGGAGCTCTTACAGAAGACAACCAAACTGATCAATATTTCTCTCTCTCTCTCTCTCTCTCTCTCTCTCTCTCTCTCTGCCCTCCTACCACCACCAGTTCTTTCTCCCCCCACCTCCTCCCTCGAAATAATCAGTAAACATATCCTCGGGTAAGGATTTTTTTAAGAGTCTATAATCAAATATAGAGTTAGCAAAACATCTTAAAATAGAGTTTTCCTAATTACCTATATAAATTTTGAGTATAGTATAACTTTTACTGAAGTATATACAGAAAAACGCACAGATTATAAGTGTACAGCTGAACAAATTTTCACAAATCGAGTACCTGTGTAACCACCAACCAGAAGGAAATAGACCATCAGAAGCTCAGAAACAACTATGAGCTTCCCTTTAGTCACTGCCTTCTACCCCCAGAGTAACCATTATGGTTTCTGATTAGTTTTGCCTGTTACTGTGCTTTACATCAGTAAACATATGTATGTGCCTTTTTATGTACGGTTTCTTTATCTCAGCATCAGTGAATCATACTTGCCGCTGCGTGTTTATGGAGTGTTTATTCTCATTGCTTTGTGATACTCCATTGTATGAATTTCTATATAATTTATCCATGCAACTCTTGATGGGTTGCATGGATAACAACTCTTGGGTTGTTTCCAGCTTTTGGCTCTTAAAAATTGTGTTGTGAACATTCATATACATATTTTCAGTAAATGTATTGACACATTTCAGTTAGGTGTATACTAGGTACAGGGTTGGAATTACAGGGTAATAGAGTAAGAGCACGTTCAGCTCTAGTAGTTACTGCCAGTTTTCCAGCGTGGTGGGGCCAGTTTACACTCCCACCGGCAGTATATGAGATTTTTTCACATCTTTACATATAGTTGGTATACTCTGCTTCATTTTAGCAGTTTTGGCAATGTATAGCATTAGTATGTTATGATTTTAATTTGCATTTTGATGATGACTAATGAAGTTGGATTCCTGTTCTTTAAATTTTTGGATGTTGTTTGCGAAGTGCTTAAGTTTTTCAAAATAAGATTTTAATGCATGTAAAAGAGTTCTGTTTTACCTTTTTCCCCCCACATGGAAATTTTACAGTGGGAAAATAATAGAATCTGGGTAATTCAGCTGATGAAAGTGTTTCTGTCTTATTATAATACTTGTATACATGTGGTATTGGCTAGAAATTATTATTGCTGGTGTGATTACTATTACATTGTCAAACTTATTTTAAGATACCCCTTGATTAATCTCCCAACATTGAATAGTGAACAATGTAAATATAATGTCTGTAATTAGAGGCCAGGTGAGAAGCTCTGTGACAGACATTAGGAAAGTACAACAGACCATCCCTTGTCCATCGGAAGTCTACAGTTGACTCCCTAGAAAGTATTTTATATGAAGATCTAAGATTATGCATCATGAAAAATGTGTGAGAGGAAAATAATCCATCATGGTATCCATATCGACAGTTCTTAACAAATTAAAGTTTTTTACCGACTTTTTCTAAATCTGCCACTGTTGCAGTTCATTTCTCGAGTAAAGAAATATATCCAGAGGGAGTGAACTATTCCCAGGCACTTTGTTTGCTTTTTAATTAATCCCAGCATCTTTAGCAGGCAGTTGGAAGAGTTGGTTCAGCCATAGAATTACAAGATCTAAATTCAACAAATAATTCATATCATTGCTGATGCAGTGCAAATTACAAGTGTAAATCGAAATGAAGCCAGTTTAAAAGAGCTAATTTCATTCACAGCTGTGATCAAGTTAAAACATTGACATTATTTAGGTCTTCATTTCTTTTTCTTTTTTTGGATAGGCGTGCTTCCTTTTGTGTAGCCTATAAGCTTAAACTTTAAAAATATGAATTGGGTCACAGGCTCAGATTGTTTCCCCTTTTCAAATTCTTTTCTAAATTTCTCAATTGTGGGAGACCATATTAGGGCCATGGATTTAAGATGTCATTTTCCTCTTTGGAAATAGATGTTTATTTTAAATGTAAGTTGGAAAATGTCAGCCCTAAAAAATTATGGAAATATGCCTTGAAATGAGTTGGAAAAAGAAGAAAACATTGGTGATAGATACCATTTCCACAAAGAATAACTTTATCTTAGATTTAAAAGATTTTATGAAATAGTAATGTTATTCATTCTTATTCCAGATTGTTTATTCAGTTGCATACATGGTATGTTCAGTAACATTTCTTTTTCTTTTCCCTTTTGCAGTTAGTTACCCTTTGTAAAATAGTAGATAATGCTGCTTTAAATTTTATTTTCATTTGCCTTATGTCCATTCTGAAACATCTTTGCTGTTACACGCTTCTTTTGCAGTATAATATACTGACTTACACTACCAATTCCTAAAAATAATGAACTGCTTGTCTTTTAACTATATGGCAGTTAACTATATGATAGGTTCTACTAGGGTATGATCTTGTTTTATGCACTTAATGTTACTACTTTGTAACTCAGACAGTGATTATTTTTTCTTTCTGTCTCTAATATATATTCTTACTGCTTTTTCTGTATTTGACTTTTTATATTGTTTAATACCTAGTACCCAAAATACCTGATGTTTAACAAAAAAAGCATTGACTACTATCCTAATTGATTAGTAAGTATATTAATATAGACTAGAGCAGCGAGTCTGCAAAGGTGCATGATTTTGCCTCCCGAGAGACATTTGGTAATGTCTGGTGGTATTTTTGGTTGTTGTCATACCTGGCAGGAGGCATCAAATGATTGCTGAGGTCTGGGATGCTGCTAAAGTAAATGACTTACAACGCACAGGGCAGCCCCCTAGAACAAAGAATTATCTACCCAAAATGCTACTATGCCAGTCTAAGTGAGAGAGACCATTGTGTCAGTGGCACATAAACATCGGATAAATATATCATCCTTCTTAAACTTCAGATTCACTCAGTGATCTTAGGATTTCTGGGGACTGTTTCTCATTAAAAACAAACATGGATTTATTTGTGGGTAGAATAACTTTAAAGTAAAATATGAGCTATTGTACACATGCAGACAGTTGTTTCAGGCTCCCAGACACACTCCTACCTTAGGGTGTCAAAAAAGGACACTCCAGAAGTGCTTTCCATGGAGCACTAAAGAATGAAAAAGAATCAAATATGTGGCAAATAGAAAGAACAGCCCTCCAGGCAGCAGGAACAGCACGTGTCACAAGGCTCTAAGATATGAGCAGTGCCTTTTTGAGGCACTAAAGAATGAGGAACTAAAGGAGAAGTGATACAGTGAGAGCACAGTGACAAAAGGGAAGCGTAACATGAGATCTGGTTGGAGAAGTAGGCAGGGGGCGGAGCAAGCAGCACCCAGTAAGCCCCAGAAGGTGCAGAGTGGAAGTCAGCAGAGTGAGTTAGGCAAGGAAAGACACACTGCAATTTACTTTTTTTTTTCAAGATTTTATTTATTTTTAGAGAGAGGGGAAGGGAGGGAGAAAGAGAGGGAAAGAAACATCAATGTGTGGTTACCTCTCGTGTGTCCCCTGCTGGAAACTGGCCTGCAACCCAGACATGTGCCCCGACCCCAGCTGGGAATCAAACCAGTGACCCCTAGTTTCTCAGCCCAGCACTCAATCCACTGAGCCACACCAGCCAGGGCAACTTACTGTTTTTAAAAAAAACTTAGTTTAATTACTGTGTGACACATGGGCAGAGAAGGTAAAACTTGAAAGCTGGCAGTCAGCTCTAGGACACAATTGTAGTAGTCCAGTTAGGATATGGTAATGAGGGAAATGAAGAAAAATAAGTGAATTTAGGTGAAGTGAGAACTATTATTTATACTTCTCATTTTCTGTTTTGTGTGCTATATCAACATTATACTGATCATGTTTAACCTATAAAATATTTTCCAAATTTTTCAGTGGCACCAATTTTCCATTTCCTTTTTAGAGAGAGAGGAAGTGGGTAAGAGAGAAACATCAGTTTGTTGTTCCCCTTATTTATGAACTCACTGGTTGTTTCATGTAGGTTCCCTGACCAGAAATCTAACACGCAACCTTAACTATTAGGACAGTGCTCTAAACAGCTGAGCTACCTGGCCAGGGCCCAGTTTTTCATTTTCAACTTGAAGAAATCTCGTACTGTTTTACATGGAGTTCTCTCTCTTTCTCCCTTTCTCCCTTTATCCGTCCCTCTCCCCCCACCCCATTCCCCCTTTTCTTCCTCCTTCCTTTTCTCCATCTCCCCTCCCCTCGTATGTATAGATTAAAATATATATATATATCTTTCATTACCTTGAAAAACTAATTCTGTTTTCTTTTTAAGAAAAAAGAAACTGTGTTCATCCCCTCTGAAAATGAGAAGATTTCAAAACAGCTTCACCTTTGTTACAATATTGTGAAAGATCATTATGTTCGAGTTTCTAATAATAATGACACCATTTCTGGATGGGAAAATGGTGTGTGGAAAATGGAATCCATATTCAGAAAAATTGAAAAAGACTGGAACATGGTAACTTAATGCATGGAACTGTTTATAATCTTTGTCATTGTTTAAACAGATATAGATTGGCTTCGTTTTTCAGTTGTGCGTAATGTGAAAACTGATATGTCAAGATTACTTTTAGTATTCCTTAGCCCTGTAAAAGAAATTCTATTCCCAACATTTAATCAAGAGACCATAAGAAAGTTTTGCATTTATAACAAGGAAGTACCTGTTTTCACCAAAGAGGCTAAATTTAATACTTTCATGGGGAAAAATAATCAGGCACATGACCAATCCATGGGACTAGTTTTTGCTTAAATATATGAAATATATTGTTATTTAATTTTTTCACATATACATATTGATTTCCTACTAAAGACAGGCTGTTAGGGAATATAGCATTCAGTTCAAAGTCCTAGAAGCTGACCGTTTAATACACTTTCATTTCATCATAATGTGGATGATGGAGCAGTGATGTTGCTTATTAATACTCTGCCTTAAAGATTAGAGAAATGCATTGCTGGGCCTGTCGTCATTCCCACACGCCGCCTTCGTGCTGTTGTCTCACATTATCTGTAACAAGTAAGAGGCTTTGCTGTTAACCTGCCCCACCCCTCAGATATGCACCAAAAAAACTCAGAGCTATTCAAATGACCTTAACAGACCTAACCATACTAGTGATACATTTTCATAGGAGTTAATGAACTTACTGAGAGCTTTTAAAGTTAACTTGCCAAATGTTCGAGTGAGAAGGGAGTTGTGCACTTGTGAGACACTGGGTAGATTAAAGAGTGAGTCACAGACGAATGAGCCGCAGTGTTACGAGCACCTCCTACCCAGTGCTTATCACCGCAGCGGACATTACTCGGAGTGTAGAAACACACAGAGACAGGAGCTCCCCTGGTTTTTTCCCAATTAGGAGTTTGTGTTCTAAGACTTACCTTGGTGATCTTTTTGTCTTAAACCAAAAACAGCTTATAGCATTTTTAAAATTGTGGATTTAGGAATTTTCTTCTTTAGTTAAAGAAGGACATAAAAAATAAAATTAGACAAAATTTAAATTTTCAGGATTTGAATCTATTCTGTACCTGAAATTGATTTGTAGTGGATGAGAGGCGCTGAACAACTTCTGGAAGACTATTCTTAGCCAAAAAACTTTTCTGAACAGAAAGCAGTATAAAGCGGATATGTTTTTTATCCAAGTACTAAACTAGTCCAGCACGCCGTTCTTCCCAGCCAGCAGTGCGAATGGAGAGAGTAAAGGTAGAGGAAGCAATGCTGTGCTTCGGAAGGCAGGGCGTGCCGAGGACAGGCCTGCCGTGTGGCCTGTGTCTTCCCTGGGTCGCTCGTTCCGTGGTCCATCAGCAAACGTTTACTGGGTGCCTCTTGTGCGAGGCATTGTCAGCTACATGGACGAAAAAAGGAAGGTGGAGTTCCTGCTCTCACAGTCGTTATGGGAGACCCAGGCATAAACAGCCAACTTAACCATGATGAAGAGTGCTATAATAAGGATATCAACACATTGCTATGGAAACACTAAGAGGGGTAATTAGCTCTGGCTGTGGGAGTTGGGCCAAACTCCACAGAGCAGGCAGCATTTGAGCTGGACGCTGCAGGATGAGTAGGTGTTCATAAGGCAAGGGAACAGCAGGAGGGAAGCACGGAGTACATGGCGTGTTTTGAGGTTTCTAAATAGAGCATTGTGGCCAGAGGAGGTGTATTGTATGAGAGAGATTTAAATAATGTAAATGAGATGCAAAGGCGATTACATGAAAATCAGGCCCCTACTCAAGTCAAGTTTATGCCTTTGTAGGCTTTTACAAAGGGCATCTTTTTTGAAGTTGAATGGATCAGTTTTCAGTTATAATATTTAGTGCCAAGTGAAGAAACATATTATAATCTTAACTATATTGTAGAGACTAATAACTCAGAAGTAATATATTAACATTAAAACTTGAGTTTTCCCCCTAAGTCGGTATTTTTAGTTCCGTACTATCATGTCCCCAAGTTAGGGATTGTCTGGCTCCACTAAGTAGAAACAGCCTATTTCTTTTTATTTTTAATTTTGTTTTTATTTGCCAATTACAGTTGACATTTTGTATTATTTTATATTGGTTTCAGGTATACAGCATAGTGGTTAGAGATTTGTATAATTTACAAAGTCATTCTCCCTGGTAAGTTTAGTACCCACTTGGCACCATACATTGTTAAAACAATATTATTGACTACATTCCCAGTGCTGTACTTTTATATCCCTGTGACTGTTTTGTAACTGCCGATTTGTACTCAATAGTCAACTTTCACATTGACTGTTACCACACCTTTCCTCCGTAATCTCCAGCCTGGAATCAAGGCAGATCATATGCAGCCTGCTCTTGGGTATGTAGAACAGATTCTTACTCTCTCAGAGAGGCAGCATCCCAGGAGCACGGGGACTTCTGCATTGTACTGTTGAGCAAGTACATTCTTCAGTGATGTGTGGATTTGAAAGGAATATAAACAGCAACAAGACCAATTTACTCTTTACCAGGCAAACGATAACACCTAGGTAAAGGTGATGTTAATGGCTTTCCAACTAGGCCCCCTGCACACGTCCTGGTCCCTTCCAGTCTGGCCCTTGTCGCCTTCTCTGGCCTTGCCTTGTACCATGATGCCTCACCCCACCCTGCATTGTGGTGCCCTGCCCTTCTGCCCTCTCCCCAGAACCGCCTTTACTTTCTTTTTTGTTAGATTAACTTATTCTTCTCAGAACTTACCTTAAGCCTTATTCCCTCCACTCCCAGCTAACTGAACTCATTTTCCCCTTTATTGACTTACACCATGTACCTCTCTTTCATGACATTTATTGAACAAATATGCCTGGGAAGAGATTCTTTGTCTCTTGCCTACTAACATTCCCTGGGCAGAGACCTTGTCTTTTTTACCCACTTTTGTGTTACTGTCAGTATTCATATACCTGTCATAGTATCTGATACATAAAAATGTTTAGTAAAGTTTGCTGAATGTAAGACAGAATGACTGAGTGTGTATGGCATGAAATCGCCACAACCCTATGGCTGTGTAGACCATCAGAGTAACCCTGTCTTAGTACAAACTATGTTCCTTGGACATTCTTATGTACTTTGCATTTTTGAGCAGTTTTATCAATCTTTTTGTCACTCAAGTCATTTTAGCACTTTTTGATGTATGGCATTATGTCAAGAATTCATTTAGTCATTCAGCAAACGTGCACATTGTCAGGCATTTAGATATAAGTTGAATTAAGAAGTAAGCCTCAAAGTGAGCATAGGCTAGTGCAGGAGAAAGACACGTGGACCAGCTATTTGGATTAGTAAGATTAAGTGCTGGAAGAATAGGGAGAGAAGACAGAAGGAAGAGCTATTGTCCCTTCCAGGGAAGAACTTGCAGAAGTAATACCAGAGTGGAGCAGATACTGCTCCACTTCCTTTGGAGGAGCAGGCAGAGGGAGAATTTCTCACTGTAAAAGGACAAGATGTAGAAGAGGAAGGTGTTTGGGGGCATGAGAAATACCATGTGCAAAATCACTGAGGAGAGAAACAGCTGCTCCATCCAGGGAAGAGTAAGTTGTAGGAAATATGGGGTAGAATAGTGGGAAATGAGAGTGGAGAGGTAAACAGGTGCCAGGTCCCAGGCAGTTATGTAATAGGAAACCATGAAAGTTCAGGCAAAAAAAGGAGGTGATCACACTAATGGCCCAGAGTCTGCAAATGGGAAAAGAAGTCTAGTATAGAAAGATTACAGTGGGAACTGATAGCGGTTCATGTGTGATTTCAGCTATAAAATGGAGTAACCGAAAATAAGATTCGTGAACACCAGTTTACCAGCATTAAATTAAAGCCTCTTGAAATACAACTGCTCTGTTGTATATCTGTAGGAATGACTGACTACAGAGTGTCTGCTGTGCAATGAACTTTAATTAGAGTTAATTCCAGCAACCTAAACAGAAGAATAATTTTAAGAGCATTACAAACTTCAAATAGTGAAGTACAAACCAAACCTCTGGGAATCCGTAGCAGCAGAATCCAGCCTGGCCTGCAGTAATCAGGAAAATTTCTAAGTGGAGATCTTCTGTAGAATGTGAAAAGGCTGACATGCAAATTGTTCTGTCTTGAAAGTAGTGGAGACAGACACAGCCCAAAGGATGAGTGTCATTTGTGTACACTGTGAGTGTGTAACTTAAACCTCAGTCCACAGACACACGCTCTTGTTCCCACCCACAGGTTGTGACATGTCTGCATGGCCTTACAGGTGCTGGAGAGGTGCAAGGGTGGGTCCCTGGGGGGTGCCATAGAGATTTCAGTCCGTAGGCAAAAAACTCTATGACTGCTGTACCATCACTGCTGCGAACGCAGGAGTAGCAGCGCTCACCTCTCGGTAGTCCCATAAATTGCAGACATACATGTAGAGCTGTACATAGTAATGACGAATTTAAAAAGCCAACAGGCAAAAAGTTGCCTAGCATCAGGACCTTAGGAACACCTAACAGTTATAAAAATGCTTTTTAGGGGTTTTAACCCCAAAATTGAATATTTGAGAGTTTAAAGTATATTATTCTCCAAAATAAATGAAAATTATTCATTCTATGGGCATTACACATAGGATCACATTTGGAAGTGTATGTAAATACTATTGTTTTAGTGCATTTCAAATTACCAAACTAAGTATGCGTATTCTTGGTAACTTCCTACCACCTCTGAAAATGCTGAATCGAAATAAATTGGTTAAAATGCTCCTGACAAGAATATACTATGTGAAAAAGATGATATGAACTTTTAATATAAATGGGGTCTGTTTTACCTCCATATACCATTTCTTTAGCCTGAGACCTTGTATTTGCTCCCAATATGTTTGACTGTTTATTTAAGCATTTAAGAATTCAATGATGAACCATCTTATCCTTTAACTATATAGTCTTAAAAAGCCAATGTCTCTAGGATTGAGAACATGTAAGTCTTAGAACAAGTGAATTTTCTCAGACATGTTCAGCAACTCTCACAAACCTCCTCTGACAGATAAAACCACAGTTCTGGCCCAGAGCCACCTGGTATAATTCAGACGGTTTGAAGGGTAAGCTGTAAGTTTGAAACTAAGCTGACTTCAGCCTATCATATTTTCTACCCACATTTGGGGGGGGGGTCATTTGAAACTACTGAGCCCTGAAAATCCATTACATAGAAGTATTTACTGAGATAAGAATTTGAATGTATTTCTGTATTAAGGTTACTTTGCCCTGTCTTATAGTTCCTTCCAGCAACCCCCACCCCCCTTCTTCCTGATGTTTGGCTCATCTTTTCCAGGTAATGTCCTTTACTAGCCACTTCTCTGAAGGCATGGTTCTGCTCTGGCCAGCCAGTCCTTTGGGGTAGGTTAGACAAAGGACTCCATGGAGCATTGGCGCAGTGCTGAGCCGCAGGGTCTCCTTACAGACACCTGTCAGGGGAGCATGCAGTACGAACACGTGAGCACTAGAGGACGTAACAGTGAGGTTGCCCTGAGCCTCATGGAGCATTGGGCAGTTCCATACATTAGGTTTGTCATCCAGAATGACAGTCGTTGATTATATGTATGTATGCATTCAAATCATCTTCCTTGGAGGGTGATCGTTTAGTTGTTTCATAATCTCTAGCTCACTAATGTTTAAAAACTTTCAAATTATATTAACTGACATATTTAACCCTGGAAGAAAAATATCCTTAAGTTGCCAAATACAATGGAATATCAATAGAATGCTGATTTTTTTTCACTTGGAGTAGAACATTTTCACACAGATGGGTTCTATATGGTACTTCCAACTATTTGCCCCTGAGAAGTAGATTTGACATTTCTAAAAGAATAGGTATAAATCTTTTAATAGAATGCTATTTATTAAATCTTCCTATGAATTCAGATCTTGTTCCTCCAGGGAGCTATGATGTGGTTAAGATTATTCAACTATACCAAAAATAAAATAGTTGCAGTTGAGTAAAGGAATATTGGCACAAGGTGGGGTAAAATCCTGGAGGACCGTGAAAGCTGAGAGTTTAGATCTAATACAAGAGCCAGGTGCTTGCTGTGCATTTCAGACCAGGCAAACGATATGAAGAAAGTAGGATTTTAAAATCATTAATTATGCAGTTGCAGAAAGATGAGCATAAACTCATGACTGTAGTGACAAGTGTGGTATAAATAAAGAAAGGGCTTTCCCCCCAAGGTTTATTTCAAACAAATGCACAGGTTATTGTGGGAAGTTTGGGCATGAGGGATTAATAACTAAAGAGTTATTGTCCTTAGGGGTTTGTGCCTGAGTGAATGCAGTTACCTGTGAAAGACCTGGCTGGTGGTGTCAGTTTTCACATCGTTTTGCAGAGTGTGGATGAAACTGAGAGAAGATAAGCTAGAAGCAGGCAATGAGCTTGGATGCCTGTAGTATAGATTTAAAGTGGTGAAAGGCGTTGATGATTAGGGAATGGGGAGTGTAGTATTTAGGAGGCAGTGATGAATATTACCTTTCATTAAACCATTACTTAGTAGTGACTGAGACTCTGTGCTTAGTTGTTGTGGCAGTGTTTTTTTTCTTTTCTTTTTTTTTTTTTTTGATTTAGAGACATGGCCCCTCTCACCTAAGAAAGCTTATCTGAAAATCCAGACTTTGAAAAGAGGACAAATTAAGAAATAACTGCATTTAAAAGGATTCTTCATTTTCAGCAGGATTGATCATCAAGTTTAAATAGCTGGACTTACTAATTTAAAAAAGAATATGATTTACCAAATTTAGTTAGCATGCAGCTCTTTTAGGGCTGTACCTGTTGGGCTGTGTTCAAATAATATCTTTCTTCCACACAAAAGATACTATAGGAAGAACTGCTAATAAAAAATTTTAGTGGGAAAAATTAGGATTTTAATAACCATTTGTACATAATAGCCTGTGACAATGAGACTTTGACTGTATGTTTTTTCTACGCTATTTCATTTTTTCCGATAATTCCTTTATTTCCCTCTTACGTGGTAGGTATATTTAGCCCGAAAGGAAGGATCGTCTTCTGCTTGTATTTCCTGGAAGTGCGAGTGCGGGTCAGTTGGCCTGAAAGTGGACAGCGTCTCCGTGAGAGCCAGCAGTCAGACCTTTGAGACTGGCGCGGTGCAGTGGAGACTGCGGTCCGACACAGCGCAGGTGGTGCTGTTGGGCGGTAAGCATCTGACCAGAGACTTAGGCACAGCCGGTGTGTTTACCATCTGAAGAGTAATTGTACTTATTTTGAGATGTAGTTTTGAGTTTTTCTTACCCAACAATTACTCATCCTATTGCAGAAAAAAATTTTTAATTAAAATCTCTATAACCTCATTCTAATAGAAAGGCTTATGGAAGAAGAAGAATCATTTTTGTTTCGAAGGACACATTTCCTCCATAAAGAATAATTTGTATTTATTTTATTTTTTAAGTGTTGACTTTTACCTCCAAGTAAGTATATAAAATGCATCCCCAAACCATCTCTTTATGTTCTTTAAGTTTCAGAAAGCAAAGTGTTATTTTTTCTTTTCCTCCCACAGATAAAATTCTTCGCTCCTATCATGATTTTTCTGGAGCCACTGAAGTTATTTTGGAAGCAGAATTGAGCAGAGGAGACGGTGTCGTTGCTTGGCAACATACTCAGCTGTTTAGACAAAGCTTAAATGACCATGAAGAAAATTGTTTGGAGATAATTATAAAATTCAGTGATCTTTGAGAACCTGAACATTATAGAAAAGCTGGCAATAATCAAGGATTTACCATGTTTTGAATTAGTCTGTTGGTTCAGTGCACGCTTAGTGGGCAATTTACTACCCTCTGGTAGCCTATTTCTTTTGCTGGCTATCCATCATGTAACCCTCATGAAAATATATTCTTTGTACTATGGACCATAATGAAACCTTGAGTCAAAAACTGCTTTCCATATGTGACTGTAACTTGGAGTAAAGTCTTACTGCCCCAATATGAGGTTTTAATCTAAAAATTGTAAGTATAGTTTTAAAAGTAAAATGACATTCATGATTAAATGCTGTTCATGATTATGATAAAATCTTAAGCTAAAAATAGTAACAATATTTTCTGCTCAGCCATTAATTTCTTCATAAGTTAATTCAGTTGGGTTTCCTAAGATTTTAAATAACTGTGAAGAGTAGCATCTCATAAGTTATAATGCATGAAAATTTTTATGATTGTAAATACATAGGCATTTAAGAAATAAAATCAGTTATTTTGCTTTATATCTTTTTAGTGGTTACTTTACCCAAATAAAAATCTTTAATAAGTATGCTAAACATTGAAAAGTGCTTGAATAGACAAGAATTATGAAAACATTTAACATTGTATAAATTCAAAACTACATTATAAATCCATAATATGTAGACATTCAGAAAATACTTTACTTATGATTTTATTTTTGAATATTTTTATCTACCTCATTGAATAAACTATCAATCTTGACTTTGAAACTGTGTTACTGTATTATACAGTATTTATATGCTGTATCAAGAGTGGTTTGTATGCGTTCCATATAACCTCTCCAGTTGAACTTAGTGAACATTTGTTGTGTTTGTGTGCAAAAGCATTGTGATAGTACTCGGAAGGTGGTGGTGGTAAAAAGATGCAGCCCCTGTCCTCCACATGCCTTCATGGTGTTCTGCAAAGTTCTCAACTCTTCCTACAAGAAAAGTACACTCACGGAGATTCTCACTCTGTGCGACAGGAAGGTTCAGTATGCGCTACAACACGTGTACAAAGGTCTGGGAACGGAGGTTTCATATTTGCTTTGTAACTGCAGTCAGACTCACTGGAGCATCACTTTCTTGCTAAAAAGTTTCATTTCAAAAAATTACTTTGTTCATCTAAAATTATTAATATGTTTTAATATGGAATTAAATTCTGAGTCTGGAATTCTTGGACTCTTGAATTAATCGTAATATTGTTTAGCGGCAAAACACATAAAATCGGAGACTTTACTCATAACCTGTTTTGAGGTGTCTGGTATTGATTGGCACATGAGTATTTTGATGATCAAGTGAACCAACCTGCTTAGTCCTCATGAGAAAAGTGGAACATCTACACGCAATTTTATAAAGCTAGTAATAAAAATGTGGGAACTCAACTAATTGTCCTTTATCTGTGAAAAGGGTATCTTACTGTGGCTTTAAGCAGAAAAACGGTCAGCGTTCACATGTCCTACATCATGGAGTTGAACTGTGGACAAGGAAAGGTAGTTGCACACTCTTCTTCCATGTATTCCATGAGCATTTCAACCTCAACACATGTTAATAAATATTTTATTATCCAGGAAAGGTTGGAAATACTACAGAAGGTCTGGGGTGAAACAGTTCTCAATAATGAGTAAACTAAGCGAGAGGAAAGTGATAAGGCAAAAGTAACTTAGCAAAGGGTCAGTACAGACGTACTTAATAAACTGGCACCGATGTTAGGGGTCACCTTTGATAGCAATCATTTAGTCCATTGTGACTAAAGAGTGAGTGTAAAGCCCTGAAAAAACAACCACACCACACTGTGTTCCTGAAACATGCTGTGATTGATTAGCCTCCTACTGTGATTGCTCCTCATTTAAAAGGAATTTATTTCTGCCTTTGGTTTCAGGTCAGATCCTGTCAAGACAAATTTTACAGCGTCTGCCTTTTTGGGGGGTGTCTTGCTTTTTGCTTTATCTTAGTAAGTCCTTTGCTGAAAATCACATTCTCAAAATGAATGAGAGACAGCATCTGATACTTTGTTCAGTTTACAAGGAGAAAAAGTGCCTCGGATTAAGGGAGGACTAGAGAAGCTTAACATGGACTTTTGAGGTAGGAAGGGTTGGATTTCACCCACACTCTTCATTCTCACTGAGGAAACGCAAACCTGGAGAAATTAAGTGACCCGTCCAACAATGCAATGGATTAGTGACATAGGCATGTTTCACTTACACATCTCAGTCTCCTACCAAGTAGCAGAGTTACAAAATTATGGTCCTGTTGTTTGTGTTGCTGTTTTAGTGGGTGCTCTATGAATATAGATATTTCGATAGGAACATTCTATTTAGGAAGGTGTTGAAATCGATATTAGTCCCTGGCTGGTGTGGCTCAGGGGATTGAGTGCTAGCCTGTGAACCAAAGGGTTTCGGGTTCGATTTTCAGTCAGGGCACATGCCTGGGTTTGCAGGACAGGTCGGGCCCCCCAGCAGGGGACATGCAAGGGGCAACCACACATTGATGCTTCCTCTCTCCTTCCCCTCTGTAAAAATAAATACAATATTTTTTTATTTTAAAAATTGATACTAGAACCAACTATTTTTCTCACTATTGTATTTTTGGAAACTATATTGTAATTTGATTATAGATTAGATATGGACACTTTCATATTTAAGGGTTTTTTTATTCCTCTACAACATAAATTGTGTTTTGATTTTATAGTCAGAATAAATACCCTCTTATAAGCAAATAGCTCTGACCCAGGTGGTATTCCTTCCTCAAACACTTGGGGAAAGAAGAGCAAACCAATACAAGCCTTGATTTGATCATTTCACTTAGCGTGTGTTCCATCACATCTTCACATTGACCAACAACACTGTTGTATTTCCCAGAAGAGATTTAGAAAGGACCTAAACGAACAGTGGCCACCTCTTGAATGTCTAGTAAGTGCCCATGACTTCAGCATCTCATTTGAGTAGGAAACAGGCTAAGTGAGAGCCAGTATTTTACTGCCTGTCGGTCTGACAGCCATTCTCAATTCATTACACCACCACAGGTGAAAAAGACTCAGGTTGACACCTTGCTTCTCTTAATTTTCTAAAGACTTGCTCTGAGATCAGTGAAACTGTGGCAGCAACGGTGTCTGAAGAGCTGAAATACAAAGTCCAAACAGGCCCATATTTCTTCCCAGAGGAAAGCTTTTTGTTTTCTCAAAGTCTGTTACTGACTTTAAATGTTTAAATTATTAAAGCCATTTTTGCTGAAAATTCAAACAATGAAATACCATAAACTAGTGCTGCCACTTTCCCACATTCCACCATTTTCAGAACCAACCACCAAAATTGTGACGTGTCTTTCGGAGCTTTACTGTAGATTTTCACATCCAAACATATAGACACACGTAAAATCAGTTTTCCTGAGTGTGTTTTTTCAATGTAAATGGATGTGTATGTTCTTGTTAATGTGTCTTTCTAGAAATCGTTTTTTGGTCATAGTATTAACTGTTCTTATTACTGTTCATAGTATTCCTCTACCCATTCCCTTGCTTACAGATGGTTAGGTTTTCTGCCCTTTTTTAATTAGGAACACTATGTAGTGAACATTCGTATACACATTTCTTTCCCAGAATTTATGCAAAGCTGTGTGCACTTGAATCCTAACCGTCCACCATCCAGTCACCTAAACGAGGTACACCAGTTTACATGCTCGCAGTGTGTATCAGTGCACACTCTCTCTCCCGTTCTTGCCGAAACTAAACATTGCGGTTGTGGCAGCCACTCTTCAAAGATCCTCACCTCCTGGCCTTCATGTCTTTGTGTTGTCCCTTCCACACTAAGTTAGATCTGGCCTGTGTGTCCAGTGGCGTCTGGTGAAAGTGACCGTGTGGAAATTCCGAGGTGTGGCCACGAAAGCCTTGCTTTCTTTGCTTGCTCTGGGGGAACGTCAGTCTCCAGGCCGTGAGGTTTCTCAGGCAGGTCTGGAGAGGCATCGAGGGCTCCCTCCGCCTCCATCACCACTTTGCCCACTATGCAAACGGGTCCTCCAAACCCAGCCAAGCCTTCAACGACGGCTAGCTTCATGAGAAAGACAGCAGGTTGGAATTGCACAGCCAAACCTCTGCAGACTTCTTGAGGCACAGAAACCATGAGACATAAAATGATATTTTTAAATCACTTTTGGCGTGATTTGTTTATACAGCATTAGATTACTGTTATGGGCTAGAGGTCTGTGTACCCCCAAATTTTCTGTTGCAATCCTAACCCCCATTGTGATGGTATGAGGAGGTGGAGCCTTTGGGAGATAAGTTAGGCCCTGAGGGTGGAGCCCTCATGAATGGCATTTGTGCCCTTAGAAGAAGAGATACAGGAGAGCTTGCTTCTCTGCTTTTTCTGCTTTCCACCATGTACGAATACAAGAAGAGGGCCATCCACAAACCTGGAAAAGGGGGAGCACCTTCACAAAAAAACAACCCAATCTCAGACTTCAGCGTCCTCAGCTGTGAGAAATGTTTTAGCCCCCACCACCAGTCTATGTAATTTGTTGTCGCAACCCTCAGTAAGACAATCACTGAAACAGCAATGCTATTTTTGCCAATCCTATAGGTGAAATATATCTAGTTTTAAGTTACATTTTCTTGATTACTTGTAAGAGTAATAATTTTTCATACATTCATTAGGCATGTTCAAGTTTTCTACAACGTTTCTCCCTATTAGGTGTGTTCTTTTTGATCATTATTTTCAATATTTTTTCATCGACTGCCTTCCTTAATGTCAGCTGTACTTGTTTAATGTGTGTAATGTCCCTCCTATAAGATTAGTAAGTAGAACTTTTCTAGAGGTCTCATGTTTAAGAATTACCTCTCTCGCGCTCTTTTTTTGGATGATATCACATTGTTCATCTTGATTTCCCTTTCATGTTACTAGTTCTCCTCTGACCAGGTATATTTATGACTAAGGACTAAGGTGTTGATAACAGGTAGCTGGCCTGGCATTTCTCTCTCATTGTGTGGAGTATTTCTTCACCAGCGCCCTCCCCTGGTTGGGAAGACTGACTGCAGCACAAGGTAAGCGCTCTTCGAGGCAGGCCAACAGCGAGTCCCCCACAGGCCACCTCAGCATCCAGCAGGCAGGCGTGCTGTGGATTTTCACAGACCATCCCTCCCTGCTCAGTATTCCTTTAGGTTCTTTTGTTTCAGAGATTTTCTTTTTTTTTCTTTATGATCTAATACTTTTTCTTTGATAAAACATTTACAAAGTTTCCAAGTCAAAACTAACGTGAAAGCACTGAAGTCTTACTTCCAGTCTGTTCTCCCTCCCACTCCCCTATCCCCACCCCCACCCCACTGTCATGGCTGACCACAGTGATCTGGTTTGTTTGGGTTCATTCTTTTTGAAAATGTGAGCACAACTCTTCGCCCCCTTTGCATCGTGATACTAACCATACTGTCTTACTGTTTTGCACCTTGCTTTTTTTTTTTTTTTTTACTTAACGTACCATGGAGCTCACCCTATATCAGTATTTTAAGAGCTTCCTCATTGAGTGCATGACAGTTCTTATTTGGGGCTATCTCCAGTCTTTTTCACGCAACAATTAAAATCCTCTTAGCAGATTTAACAAAATCTGGATTTCAGTTGACATTGAAAATTTGGGTGGTGTGACAACACTGTGTTCGTAATGGCAGCAGTCAGCTGGGCCAGACTAGTAGCCGTGCTTCCTGTATGAAGGGACCTGTATTCCCCACTATGGGGGTAATGGGGACCATGAACCTCTGTGCCTTCTGTCCCCAGATCTAATGCTGAAGCCCAGTGTCAGTCGTCATTTACTGTGATGCTACCTGGGAGACTCAAAGGTTGGAAAGTTTTAGTTTTAGGTAATAATTAATAAGCCTAAAAGTTAATGCACATAAAAAGCTACTACTTCAGGAACTGCAGGACTGCTCCCCCCGACTCCAGGAGACAACAAGCGATTGATCTCTGTGCTCCAGAAGAGACCCTGAGCAATCAAGGTGATACCCGAGCCACTGAGTTCCAAGGAGAGACAGTCCCCCGCCTGGAACTCAGATAAAGAAAATCGCCCAGGACACAGGACACAGTTAAAAAAATGACCAGTCAGTGGATGAATGACAAATGCCAGACTGCAGCTGTTACCAGATTAACCTCTTTCCCGAATTTCAAGTCCCTTACC